TATAACTGCAAGTTTGTCTCATAAAAAAATTTAATCTACCCTGATGTTACATTTAGTAGTGATGATTATCCTTAGCCAGCGGAGTCAGGGAATCAACCATGGGCACCTCTTACGCGGTGGTTCGCTGAACCGTGTTCAGCAAAAATTGGCGAGCGCTGTGGCATCGTCTGCTCTGTGCCTAGCAGACGACAAAGCGAGGGTGTGCTCGCAGGCGGGAAGAGCGAGTCCGCCACACGGCGCGTGCGCGGAGTTTCGGACGGCGCCTGCTATGGGGCGCTGGGGGTACGGGGCGGCCGCCGCTGCCGTGTTATAGCTAACAGTGTCCACGATAGTACTTGGGTTCTCTACGGCACGTGTTCAGGGTGACTCCGAATTGCACTCAAATCTGTGTAACCATATAATTGCTCGAAATTTTCGATCACTAGGCTGCTGGAGAAACACCGTCCCCATGATTCCTCGAGTACGGGCCAAGGCGCTTGGGGGATTTAGCAAATTGTCTATTCGGGCGTAATGTTAACACTTTAAATATTTAAGCTACATTGAAATCCTCGTGAAAACTAGCACAAATAATATCAAACTTAAGCTTGTCATAGCTGAAGTTTGGGATTATTTTGCTAATATTTAGCTCGCGAACAATGAGTCAATCAGAGTTTGCTAACAAAAAAAAATTTTTTAAAACTTTTTTTAGCTTTTTAATATATTGAAAACCGGCCGCCAGATAAGTCTGTATATGCGCCAGTTAAGTCTGTATATACGCCATATCAGGCTTTATATAGGCCAGATAAGTCTGTATATACACCAGATAAGGCTGTATATAGGCCGTATATAATTATATAGTGTTTGATATGGCCAGATATGGCCCAGATATAAGATTTCCATACGGGCAGACACGCCGGGAGTCTCAAGACCGCGAACGGTGCGAGCTGGGCGCCCGGGGGTGGATGTGGAAGCCGACACGCCGGGAGTCTCATGACGGAGAAAAATTGATAAAGGGCCACCGAGGGTCGACGGAAAAGCGTCAGTCCCCGGAGCCCCTGTGAGCCTCCGGGACGCCCGGAGGCGGCTGCGGCTGCTCGATCTTGTGAATTGGGTTTTCGGCGCTGCCGGCGGAGAGTAGAAATTTCTTACCACCGCCGGCCGTAGCCGTTTCCCTGCGTCTGAGGCGGCCGCCGCTGTTCGCTGCAGTCACAACGTATGTGTCCTGCCTGGCCGCATCGAAAACAATGGGGCGTGGTCCGCGCGTCGGCTTCGTGCGGTCTCCCGCTCCTGCTTGCCCCTCCCGAGCTCCGCGTTACGTGTCCAGAGGCCAAGAACTCATCTTGACCGACTGAGGGGTTGTAGCGTTGGGAATGTATGCCCTCATTAGCGCTGCGCCTCCGTGATTTATATACATGAGCATCTAGGATTTGGGGACAGGCGTCTGGTTGGTATCGTATGGTTCACTCCCGACTCTATGTACACGTGCATTTTCAGACCATGTAAACAATGGTTCCAGGGCCATGTTCAACGGAGGAGGGGGGCGGTTTCTTAGTTCCGCGAGGATGTCAGCCTGGATGGTGATCGCCTCCCGTGCAATCTCGTCTAAGTTCTTAGAGGTGCGTCCCCTAAGATGGCGAGGGAAACACGGGTGGCCTTGGCAGATGGCGCGTTCTACTTTCTCTGCGTCTGGTGCCGCGGCGTCGGCGATATCGCACAGGCCCTGGCGAGCCCTTACAAACTAGATGAATGGCTCTTCCGGGTGCTGTGTGCGCGCGCGCATCTCGTCCCTGTTCCGCGTGCTGTAATCCGGAGTCAGCAACTTCGTTCTGAATCGCGCCTCGAAATCTGACATACTTGTTTATTTAGTTTGTCTTTGCCTCCACAGTGCTGCACTGTCTATCAGTGCAACCGGCAAAAGGCGAGTGAGGACGGTTTCGTCGTCAATTCCCGAGGCAGCTTGCTAGTCCTGCAGTTCCGAGTCAAACATCGCGACTGACTTTCGATATGCGTACCCTGAAAAAACCAGAACGCTAAGCGAGAGCCTTAAATATTCCCGGGGGGGGGGGGGGGGAGGGGGGGGGGGGGTTCCAGCAGGAGCGGGGCTTGAGCACACCATCTGCTCTCGTTGTAACTTGTAGGGTTCTCGTCCGATTCCCCGGGCCCCTGTCTCCGGATGAACGTGACACTGCAAACGAATTGCTCTCGGCAGAACGGGTTTATACTCCTCACATTCTGCTGGGGGTTTCGGGATCGGGAGAGGTAATCGAGGAAGCCTGGAAGGGCTGCGCCACCACTGTTTGCTGCATGCCGATCGTCCCTGCGGTTCTAGTCCACACCGCCTCCTGTGGACGTCGCCGTCGAGGGTCGAATCCGGGGTCTAAATCCGGACCATATCACCGGGCCGTTGCCCGAGCCGACGTCGCGGTCGCCACCACCGCGAACGTCCGTCGTGGCCCGTTTCCCGCCGCAAGAGTCCCCTTCCTATCTCCCGTCGTCTGTCGTCCCAGCTTCCCCCATTTCCCGAGGTCGCCGAGCACCAGAAAGACGGGAGCGTCTATCCTCCCATCGTGGGCGGCCTCTCGCTGGAACTTCCCGTCCGGCTCTGCCGCAGCACGTGCAGGGCCTCGGGTGCCGACGCCGTCCGGGAGGGGGGCCTAGGATGTCCACCCCTGACATAGCCAATATCTTCAAGATGGGTCTCAACTTTCTAGGGAGGAGGCACTCGGGCACTAAACTTCAAAGGCGCCGTCTTTGCTACGAAGGCATTTGAATAGGAGTCCCCAGGTGCCGGCGTCCGGTTGTCGACCAGATGGGGGCCGACAAGACCCCACAAACTGAAGAAGCATGGTCATGGCCACTCTTAGTTTTGTTAGACCTTCCTCTGATGATGCTCCTGCCGGGACTGAGACTGTAGGCTTAGCGTCCGGATTTATGTCGCTGGCGGCGTTATCCACGAGTGCGCCGAGCGTCAAAAGGTCGTCCTCACTCATGCTTTTGTCCGCGTCTTCTGTAGATGGCAGCCTGTAGTAGTGAAGGCTTCTGCAGGTTGAAATAGTTAGGCTTGCGAAAAACCACCCCGGAAATGCGGGCAAACTCAGGAACGCTAAACTGATTTTGTAAAAAGCAAGAACGAACCCACTTCGTGGCCATCCTCCCAGACGAGCAGCATATCACGTGTGGGTGCCAGTGTGGGTTTCCCCGTGCTGCTACCCGGCTTGGGGAATGACACAGCACACCGGTGCAACAACACGTCTACATTTAATGATCGTTATCCCCTGCGCCGCGATATAAAAAATCCCTCGCGCATACGCTGCGACGGCCCTTTATCAGCGGCGGAGCGCCGCTCGCGTGGCCAATTGCCCTTGGCCCCCTCGCGGTGCAGGTGACCACTGACGATTGTCGGAAGGGCAACCTGGGCCAGGCCGCTTCAAATTCCCAGGTTGCCCCCAACGTGTACTCTCAGTAGTCTGGAATTATGGTTTACACTTAAAGTGTAATCTGAGTAGGGCGCTCTACTAAAAATAACGTTTAGTCTGCTAAATGTACTTTTAGTGTATTGCTCTTTATCAGGGGAGAGGCGTGTTGTCCACGAGCAACGCTATATACTGGGAAGGGGCCATACATTTGTGCAGAAAAGGTATTCCTAGTTTTCACTTGCCCTAAGATTGGTTTGAATTTCCGAATTGCACGATTTTTGTAGAATCAATAATTTTTAAAAATAAAAAAAGAACTCCAAAGTATTAGAACTTCGGTTGAAGAACAGAAAAGTTTGACACTTGACCAAGTTCAAAAGTATTAATTTGTTACCGCGTTGCCCTACATTATTTGCGAGTGTAGTCTGATTCCCGCTGCTCCTCTTCAATTTTGAGTCGTTATCGTATGTAGATTTTACGAGCCTTTGACTGAGGACACGACTGGAACTATTTTACCTTGTGCAAGAGAGATAGATATTTTATTCGAGACAGAATTCCCCCTCCACCCATTTCTTCCCGTCCGCCCGCAGCTCAGGACTACAGTAAAGACGTCCTTCGATACCCCATGACCACTGAGACTGACCTCCATTAAGTGTGACTGTTTAAATATTCTGTCTCGACTGAAGCATTGTAGAAACAAAATTTTTTGCCTTTTAGGTTTTACTTTATTTTTAATTTATCTTCACGGGTATTTTACACCCGTAAAGTTGTGTCGATTGAGCCTACTTACACAAAAACTGGAAAACACGGAAGTGTATATTTCGAAAAAAAGGGATGAATCATAATGTGTCTGCAGTTTTATATAAATTTGACAAATTATATCCATATTTAACCTTCTGACAAATCCCAAGAATGCGAATTTGGTATGAATGCACATTGTGATATCACTTTTTTGGTCCTTGGCTTTTGGGGAACCTTTTGTTCACAGATACTCTATAGTTAGCCAAACTATTTATTTAACTGTTTCGAAATAACAATTGCAACAATAACAAAGCTAGCGCATAGTGTCGAAGTAAACCAAATGAAGGGGTAAGTTAATCCAAATTTCCAGTACAACGCCTAGAATGCCGTGACAAAAAGACATTTAAGTTGCAAATAAATTTTGCTTTGAAGATATTTAAATTCAATCGTGCGAGCTCAATGCCCCACACATAATCGAACCATAATCCTTTTCTCATTTGTCTTTAGCTAAGGAAAATACAAAATAAGTCAGCTGGTTTCTATTGCATGCCAGGTATTCACCCCTGGACTCTAAATGAGTCGAGGAATACAACATGCTGGAATGTTGAATTACTACATTTACCCGTCGCGTTAAACTATTGAACTTGTTAGTGGTTTTGTGTACCTTAAAATGTTGGTGTACTTCGAGATCAACGCAGAAGTGATTTTGAAAAAGTGTTCTACTTCGACTGGCCTTTAAATAGTTGCGAATTGTATGTCATTGAATACACCTAGAAAGTGATAACGTGTTATGTTTTTGATGTTTTTACTAGTGTCATATATATTGCGGTATTTTACATGCATCTTGATGTTTTTTCCTGTACTCAGGTTGGAAGCCACTATCACTTCACTGAAACAAGCAAGTACTTGGTTTTCGACAGAAAAAAGGCTTACGGCATGAGGCTTGTAAGTAAAGTATTTGTTCTATCCGCTCTCTAATTATGTACATAATACCGTTTGTTCCGTCTTTCAAACGAAAGGAGGGAATAAAATTCCATAATAATTTTAAAGGGTGAAGAAGGTTAGTGACGCTCATAATTGCCTCCTCGTTGAGCTGTTCCGACATCGCTTTTCGAGTTTGGTGTATGTGGTTAGTGACGATGTGGCATTTTGCAAACGAGTTCGTCTGTGATTATTGTATGCCTTTTTTACCGCGTCAGCACTACCCTGTACCGGCACGTTTTGAATGAAATATGTAGGACGGTATATTTAGAGAATTTTAAATTAACTAGGATAAAACAGCCCGAAAGTGTCGAGCACGAAGCGCGGGATGGACATGCCCAGACAAATTGTCCGGTCAACTAAAACCAGAAAGGTATCTCCAAAAAATAAGAGTGCTCAAACATTCTATCTATGTTTGGTTGTAACATAAGAAGTGGAAACGATGCATCGCTCGTGAAAACCTCCGCTCTCCTCAATTCCCGATGCACCAAGCCCACGTTCAATAATTATTTTGCAAAAGTTTTTGTTTTGTTTTGCTGTGGGCTTTAAATATTGAAAAATGCGCTGTTGCTGGTTGCTTCCTCCTTTCCGTCGATTCAGAGCCAGTTAGGCTTTTGCGTTGGGTGGTGTAGGGTTCTAATTTCTCCCCGCAAATTCGCAAGACTCTTCTGCAGTTCTAGGTTTCACAACACGGTTTCTTAGGGCAGCTTCTGGTTCCTGGAGTTCTGACCCTTGGCCACTTTGCAGCCGAATATTACACTGTAAACAAAACAACAAATTTTCGCCGCAAATTGGTTTATAATGAGGTCTACAGTGGGTTGCTTGCCTGCATGGCCGACTGGGCCGCGTAATTAATCTTTTCATGACGATTTTTCTGCCCTTCTCACGAAATCATTTATTGTTCCGTGGGAAGATAAGAGAAGAAAGAGAACTTATAAAGAATTCAGTAGTTCTAGAACCGCGAGTACGTTGCCTGAAACTCGTCTCGGACTGGTGCATTTACTGCATTTTAAGCTTCGGTTTCCCGATTTTCGCCTCCTGAATTCACCACTCGCTGCTATGGTCACTGCAGACTTGAGCCTATCGAACATACTCTACCCAAGATACTCTATTTAAAATAATTTTTGCAGTATTTTGGTATGTTGCAGACACATTTAGTCTAGGTTACTTGCTACTCTATTTTAATGACATTTCTCAAAATCTTGTACTCAGTATCTCATATACCATTTGCAGGCACGAGGAAAACGCAGTCTCCAAATCCAAAGTTTCTGCGTCCTGTTGTCAACTTTCTTTGTTGTCCTTAAATGGCACGTTTTTATTGGAGCTAATGAAGTGCTGGTGACGCCATCCCGAGTTTAGACTCAGACCCCACCTTTTGTGGTTTCGTCAGCGGAGGATTGTGACGCCAGCACTCGGTACGATCACAATGAACCATTTTGGGGAAATCGAAGGTTCGGGGTATTCCAGTTTGAAAATGCGCGAACTCGTTTTCATGCGAGCACAGGCATTCGCTCGGCCCAATCAGCTAGATCCTCCAGGCTTAATTGGGCTGCAGTGGTTTAGATTGAGCTTCCCCAAATCTCCTTGTGAGCATGTTGTGGCTTAACTTTTGCTCCGAAGCTCGTTAAATAACGTTTCTTTTATCTTCTTACGAATGCGCGCATTGTTTCACCGTAAAAATCTTCGAACTGGTAGATTCTGATTCAAAGATCTTTACCATCTTGACTTCAATGCGTCAAGAATGGTTTGACTTGCTGCAGAAGGGCGCAGTGGAAGGGGGTTTAAAAGTTGTTTAGTGAAAACTCTCCTGTGTTTCCATTTTGACCTTCCTGTTTTTTTCTGAAAGTCTGAAGGTACAGGTGCTTTTTATTGCCTTTGACTAGGGGGACAAAGTCATTTTAGAGCGCAGCTCTTAGGGGCCCGTTCCCGGCTTGAGCGGCGTCGGCGTCGCCGTCGCCGTCGGCGTAACCAAGGTCATCCCAAGGTCACGTGACCCCTGCAGGTCACGTGACCCCTCCCAAGGTCATCTCAAGGTCACGTGACCCCACGTGACCCCCTGAAGGTCACGTGACCCCAAGGTCACGTGACCTTGGGGGTCACGTGGGGTCATCTTGGGATCACGTGACCCCCAAGGTCACGTGACCCCTCCCAAGGTCATCTCAAGGTCACGTGACCCCAAGACCCCACGTGATCCTTTGAAGGTCACGTGACCCCCAAGTCACGTGACCCCCGAGGTCACGTGGTCTCCTCCCCAAGGTCACGTGACCCCCGAGGTCACGTGACCGCTCCCAAGGTCATCTCAAGGTCACGTGACCCCAAGGTCCCCACGTGACCCCCAGGTCACGTGACCCCTCTGAGTTCACGTGACCCCTCTGAGGTCACGTGACCCCCCGAGGTCACGTGACCCCTCCAGGTCACGTGACCCCCAAGGTCACGTGACCCCCTGAGGTCACGTGGGGGTCACCTTGGGGGTCACGCGACCTTGAGGTGACCCCCATGTGACACCCAAGGTCACGTGACCCCCAGGTCACGCCTCCCCGAGGTCACGTGACCCCCCTCCCCGAAGTCACGTGACACCCCCCCGGAGCATATTAAAGAATGAGGGGAGGAGGAGGAGAAGGAGGAGGGGTCTACCCTCCCCTCAGTACCCTTCACTCCTCCTCCTCAAGAGCTGCGCTCCAATTCGGCGTTACAGGGGTTTGTAAACGGCTTTCACTTTTAGAGCGCAGCTCTTAGGGGCCCGTTTCCGGCTTGAGCGGCGTCGCCGTCGGCGTCGCCGTCGCCGTCGCCGTCGGCGTCGGCGTAACCGCGCGGTGCATTATGGGTAAATTTCCCCGCCAAATCTAGCGGAAAAATTTCCCCGCTAGATTTAGCGGAAAAATTTCTCCGCTAAACCTAGCGTAAAAATTTTCCCCGCTAGATTTAGCGGAAAAAATTCCCCGCTAAATCTAGCGGAAATATTTCCCCGCTAAATCTACCGGAAAAATTTCTCCGCTAAATTTAGCGGAAAAATTTCCCCGCTAAATCTAGCGGAAAAAATTTCCCCGCTAAATCTAGCGGAAAAAATTTCCCCGCTAAATCTAGCGGAAAAATTTCCCCGTCAAATCTAGCGGAAACAATTTTCCCGCTAAATCTAGCGGAAAACTTTCCCCGCTAAATTTAGCGGAAAAAATTTCCCCGCTAAATCTAGCGGAAAAAATTTCCCCGCTAAATCTAGCGGAAAAAATTCCCCGTCGAATGTAGCGGAAAATATTTTCCCGCTAAATCTAGCGGAAAACTTTCCCCGCTAAATCCTAGCGGAAAAAATTTCCCCGCTAAATGTAGCGGAAAAAATTTCCCCGCTAAATCTAGCGGAAAACTTTCCCCGCTAAATCTAGCGGAAAAAATTTTCCCGCTAAATCTAGCGGAAAAATTTCCCCGCTAAATCTAGCGGAAAAAAATTCCCCGCTAAATCTAGCGAAAAAAATTTCCCCGCTAAATCTAGCGGAAAACTTTCCCCGCTAAATCTAGCGGAAAAAATTTCCCCGCTAAATCTAGCGGAAAAAATTTCCCCGCTAAATCTAGCGGAAAAATTTTGGTCACGTGACCCCCCGGGTCACGTGACCTGGGGAGTCAAGTGACCCCCTCCCGAGGTCACGTGACCTCTGAGGGGGCACGTGTTTGCCCCCACGTGACCCCACCAAGGTCACGTGCCCTCGGGGGGGGGGGTCACGTGACCCCCCCCCCCCCCGAGAACACGTGGCCCTCAGTACCCTCCCCTCCTCCTCCTCAAGAGCTGCGCTCCAATTCGGCGTTACAGGGAGTGGTAAACGACTTTCACTTTTTATATGACATTGTCTAGTGTCTGGTATAAACGAATCCACACTTAGTTTTGACCAGAAAAAAAATTTGGAGACAAGAAAAATCGTAAGGCAGGGAGAGGTGGACAGTTGCAATAACGCGCACTGATGGAGGGGGCAAGTTTGAAAGTGAATAATTAAAACAATAAACTTAGGAGAATTTTAAAACTTTTTACAAACAAACTATGGGTACAACTTGCTTGTAATATAAAGTAATAATATTTATTAAAAATTTATTTAGTTTTCTAAAAATTGCCGAACATGCCTGCTCGAATGACAAATGGCAAACTTTGGAAATCTGTATCTTATGAAATAATTTAATCATTATTACATAACTTGCAGACATTATTTTACTAATATATGGCTATTATTGAAAAAATAAATAAGGTATCTGAGTGACACAATAGATACAATATATTTAGGCAAACATGGGAAAAAAATCAAACAAAGAAAAATTCCAATGCGAATAAAAAAAAAACACCACCTTCGATTTTTTAAAAATTTGGGTACCCTGTTATACTCTATTTCGGCATTCATTTCTGTTAAAAACATGTTGCATCGTTGCACTGTGAAAGAAGAAACAACTCCCCAAAGTAGGGTCCTTTTTCAAAGCCTACACTTAGCAGTGTCCCATACAAGAAGTGACTCTGAGTTCCAGTTTCATGAAACTTGCTCAAATCTTTTATATACATTTTTTTTATTGGTTGTTAATCAGCGGCGACAGAGGCTGCTGTCATCGAATTAAATGTTTCTTCTGAGCGTGCACGTCTGTCATTCACTTGCGTATTCGTCAACAAACATGGCTGTATGATCAACTTCAAGATCATATGTTATGAAAATGCAAAGCCGAACATGTCCCCTTAATTGCGGCGGAGCATATTACGAACTGAAAGCGCCATGAGCCGAGCCTGCCGTGAAACTGAAGCTCGGCAGGTGCCATGTCTATAATACACGGTTCCCGTTTGTTTCTAAAATATTTTGGCACGCGTTATGTTGCATATCCCGAATTACTTCCGAGTATACTTGAATTAAAGCAACCAAGGGGCTTCTTGAGGGTCTTAAACGAACACAGCGCAATTCGCCTTCCAAAGAAGTCATCAAATATAGAGCACCCCTTTCTGACCTTTTATTCTTAGATTACCAGCTTTAAAAAACTTGGCAAGTATCTTCGAATGTAATTTAATTACTTTTTCAAAGCATTTGTACTCTACTCAAGATAGTTCCTACTAGAAGTAACTCCAATGCTGATCTAAATACATTTTCAAATAGGTATTTAGTAAATTATCTCATATACTTTTGGCGAGTATTTGGCACAATACCCGTTCGATGGCCGCGATATTGGCGGTGCCACAGCAGCGGGGATGAATGTGGCAGACGCCTGTTGTGCCGAGGGTCGCTCTTCAGTCGAACGGTCTGCAAAAGCTGTAGCCCCAGGTTTAGCCGCAGCGACGACAGCGATTCTTGCGGACTCTCTCCTTCTTCACCAACACTTGTATGACCGACAGCAAGGATCATTACGAACGAAACAGTGAGCCGCTGGCTTCTCTAACACAATTCGTTGTCAGCTTCGGAGTACTATTTCTGCGTGCCCTGTAAAGGAAGCTAAACACCAGACAAAGACGCATTCCAAGGTTTGGAGTTTGGTCAACGCGGGAGCAAGATCCCATTTCGGTATCACGGAGCAGGCAAGACATCGTTAGCGAACGACTCACCTGCTATCGCGAGCACGGTTGAAGACAAGAACACGTACTATACGGTAGGTGTTTGGACGGTTCTAGTGTATAGCGACTTTCTGGTTGCAAATTGAAGCAGACAGCAACCAGTCTACTTCTGCGGTGCTCCTGTGAACTCCTATGAAATATTGCGCGTGCATTTTGTTTATTCAATGGTGAATAACATGATTTCATATTATCAGTGAGTTGTAGCGAATACACAATGAACAGACACTCATTGGGCATTCAAAATATATGCGTGGTTCCCCCAACATGGCGAAGACGCGGCGTGAAGTGCCGAATGTGTGGTAAACTGAGATACATTTTGACTGGAATCCAATTTTCAAAAAGCGCCGGCCACATTTCATCATCACTACCATAGCCTCCTCTATACTCACAAAGCCTGGCAGTTTGACGACGGAGCCATAGAGTGCCAGGTCGTAGATTTGGAGCGCGAGGATCTGGTAGCACAGAGCACCCAAACGCAACTTTTCGCTCGGCAGAAGTGTATTTCGCCGTCTTGCCGCTGCGGAGTGCCAGTCACGTAGCTCTCCTCTCATCCGTTGTCTGCCGCTCCACCGTTTCCATTTCGGTGGAACCTTCTCGTTGCGATCTGCCAGACGTCGTCAGTATATAGGACGCTATGTCACTACACTTGATGCTCACCACAAGCTGCTTGTGAGTGAAAGCCTCCGCTGACGATCCTTGAGTGGCGCGACTAGGGCGACAGGCTGTTACTCAGTCCAACACCTCCTAGCTAACCAAGCCTAAGGGTTTTCCTTCGTCACTAAAGAGGACAACCGTAGGCCACAAACTGGAGCCCAGTGTAGCGTCAGCGTTCAACTGGAGCCCATGTGAAACTCGGTGAGAGCACGACTCCTTGCCCAACGCTCAGGCCGAAGTCGCCTCCAATTTTCAGCCTTTCGGTGATCTTCTCTAGTAAAGCAGGAGACTTCAGCACTCGGGCTTTCTTAACTAGGAGGTGTTGCTGAGTGATTGGCGTTTCTCTCGTAAAAAAACTGTTCTACTACGTACCAAGACGCGAACGTTGCGAATCTTATCAAATTACTACCTTTACCGGATCAAGCTTCCCAGTCACTGTCCCCATAGATTGCTAACGCATGAATGCTGACTCATCAAGAATGCTTCAGGAGTATGTGCGACTGGACAGCCTTTAAGTACCTGAATCACTGACGAAGCCAAGAGGGAAGGATAAGCCTTACGGAGCTCCAGCCATCAGCCGCCCGAAATCCAGCCGACCCTTAAATATAAAAATGCATTTTGAACTCCCTTCCCCCTCTCACTCCCCCCTCTGTACCACAAGTCATGGACATCCCAGCCACCTCAGCCACCCCTCCGCTCCCCACCCGATAAAAAAAAGAAATCTCTGGCTACGCCACTGACCCGAGTGTACAACAATGATAGAGCTTTTATGTTGCGTATTGGTTCAAACAAGAGCGCTGTGCATTGGACGTTAGCGTTGCGTGCTCCGCACTGCGTATGCGTGAAATCGCAATTTGCCAGTCCTAAGCGCAGTTTGGGGATTCTCGCACGCCAAGTGGGGAACACGCAACGCTAAGTCAAAGGCGCACTGCTGGCGTAAAATGTTAATTTGGGTTGTGCAGACATTTATACGACGAGTAGTTGGTAAGCCATTTTTAAAGTTGCGACGAGTCATTCGCTGTAGACGAGCGATTTAGCCAGTGCAGTATAACCGCTAGCCTGGGGTCTTTAACGTGTATCACGCTTTAGTGATACAGACCGCACGCCGGTACGATGCTAATCCAGATCTAAACGGGCAGGGGTGGAGATTGAACCCAGGATCTCTAGGTTCTGCAGCGCGAGCTTTCGCTCCATAAGCTTCAGGCTGGTGTCCGCTAGCCCACTCGGCCACTGATCCCCCTAACTGCTAGCGTTTGCTTCAATACGCAATACTAAAACTCACTAATGTGAGGGGGATAGTACGGGCCTCTTCTAGAACATACGCAAGTGCTTTGCGTTGCTAGCGGGATATTGTGCCGACACCTTGACGTTAAATTTAGGTGCGCCACGGTGTCATTACGTGGTGACTGGTGATAGCGTGACACCACATGACGTCACGCGGCCTGGCCTCACGCGAAGTGGACACATGACGTCAATTTCCCCGCTAAGGTTAGGGAGAAAATGACTTAAGAATATTTTCTTTTTCGCTCCCTGGAACAACTGTTTTATGGCTTCAGGAGAAATCAAAACGGAGGCCCTTGACGTCCTGCGTACTATACATTAGTATGTTTTGGAGATGAAAGTCACCGTCATTTTTATCAGTTACCAAAATATAAATAAATCACCTTCAACTACAAAAAAAGTATCAAGCAATACCAACAACTTACATTTCTAAATTTCCAAGAACACGAGCTAAATTAAAGTAATTCAACTAGTGTAATTGAATTAATACCGAGATACGCCTGCGTTGAGATGACTCCTCGCGAACGACGAAGGGCTTACATGGCTCAGACGAAGAAATCAACAAAGAAGAAGCTCGCTTACTCATGTGAACCGGCCCCAGGCAACAAAAATTTCGTATTAACGCCTAAAAGTTATTAATGGGACTTTAGAGCACCCTCAGAAAGCCTGCAATACCACGTGAACTGCGATAAACGTAGACCCAATAAGAAAGTTTTCCACCTCTCAAGGCGTTTTATTCTTTCATCATCCCTCAAGATCCCCGGCCGGGGCCTTCGATAAGGGGGAAAGACTCTGAAAGAACCTCCTTTAATTGGCTGTCTCATGATGATTTTGACAGTTAATTACGTTTCCGGCGTTGTAAAGATTGGCACCTGCCAGTTCTAATGTTTTATATTTTTGCACAGAACATTCCTGCCGGAACCTCCGTACGTTTCGAGCCTGGTGACGAGCGATCGGTTCCTCTTGTGGAGATAGCAGGGTTTCAGTAAGTAGAACTCTCGTCACACCTCTCACCAGCATACTCGACGACCGGGGTTTAAAACTACGCGTAAACTAAATTATCAGCGCTGTCGAATAGAACGTTGATTTGTACATCTGCAATCAGACCTCACTACGCAGCACCCGACGAATAGGTAGAAAATGCGTTTGTTGATCATTTACTTTTGCATTACACCTTTGCTCCAAAGAATTCACTTCTATACTGATTTATACCAATAAACTCGTGGATCGTGTACTTGCACTCTGAAATGTCCTTGTACAAATGAAGCTTTGCTGTGCACTGAACGTTCTCAGCACAAGATAAATTCCGAGCATATTTTTGCATATACAAAGGATGCTTTAATCGGAGGTTGAAGATTTGGCAAAACATATATTAGAATATATACATAAGATATAACCTCCGCGCTTGTAAAACTGGGCACTCTTAAAGTGTACACTTGATTTTATTAGTACCAAGAAACATTTATTGTAGCTAAATGAAATTGATTGTGGGCCTCAGCTTTCCAAACCTAAGTACGATTTTTAGAATCGATTCTTTAAAACCTTGTGTCTGAGCTATTAATTTCTGATATCGTGTTATACAGTTGCTTCAATCTTGTTTGGAAATCAGCTTACAAGTTTTGCTACTTCCCTTTCCTGTAGAATAGTTCGTGGAGGTAATAACCTGTGTGATGGCAATGTAGACATCAAAAATCTTCCACAAGTCATGAAGAGGGTATACACCAATGGGTTTGGCCACATAAAACAGGTGAGTTCGCATGCCGCCAAAAATGTCCAAGTCACGCTCCTTTGAAAAACAACATAAATTAGGAATTGACCAGATAAAAATTAGTGAATTCAAAATTGCATATATTTGCTCGAACGCACACTGTGCGTAATTTTGACGGTGCATGTAACGGTCGAAATTATTTTGGTTGCGCTTACGTGCCAGACTAAACGCTCAATCTGACGTGGGCAGGACAAACATTAAAGGATCTATTACACGGCACCTACACCAGTCAAATTGTCCACGAGAATGAAGTGTTCATGGTTTGTATTTGAACAGGTTAACCCAGGATACCCTGGTCAACGCTTTGCCTCTCCGATTAACGTTATTTATTCTCTAAAAAATATGCATCCTAAAACATAGATAAATGTATGGGGACACACCACGAATTGCTTCATGTTGGTTCCTCTACTTCAGTTTATTGCTTTACGGAGAATATTGCTTGAAGAATCATGTGCCAACAAGTCAATCTCTCCATTTTAATTAACATTAGAGATTTATTCTTCAAACAAAAAAAAAACAAAAAAAAAAACGACTCCCTTAAACAAGGAAAAACGTAAAGGGACACAACACGAATGACTTCGTGTTGGGCTCCTCTACTTTTGTCCCTGTCTTGTGGGGCACATTGCTTGGAGAATCATGTACCAACAAGCCAATCTCTCCATTTGAATTCACTTGAGATATTTATTCTCTAAAAAAAGGAGCCTTAAAACAAGAATAAATGTAGAGGGACAGGATCGTGTTGAGTTCCTCTAATTTTTTCAATATTGTACGGCGTATATTGCTCGGTGAGTCACGTACCAACAAGCCAACATCTCCATTATAATGCCAAATATTTAGGAATGCATTGTTAAAGGTATCTAGCGAAGTACACTGTTTGTAGGTATTGCTCAATTCCATTAAATTCAAATGATGAGTAGGCAGGTGTTCAGGTGGAAAAGTCGGTCTGCTTGATACTATGATTATTTGTGTGTGCTCCAGAGGGCAGTTTGTATAGTGCGGTACGCTCGATAATAGGTTCATCTCTTTATAGCCAGTCACGCAAATATGATTGTACAAAATTTTCAAATAACGGTCTATTTTACATCAAAGCCTCCAAGAATAGAAACTTAACTCATGACATCCGAGTGAGCGGGTTGAAATATTATTCCACTTGTTGCGGCGCCGCGCGTAACTAAAATAAAATTTAAAAAAAATATATTACCTGTCTTCCTTACGCTTCCTGAACTAAATAAAGCCTGCGACGGGGCCCCTGCAAATAAGTATCGCTACTACACTTTCTGAAATTGTATCTGGTAACTCTACAATTGATACCGTCATTGAACCCTTAGCGATTTTTTTGGACTTTCCATATCGGGGTTTATCTACCATTGTAAGTTTTCGTCAAGAGTGTTTTTTTTTTAATTTCTGCCGAATATTTCAAGAAAACGGTGGATGAAGGAAAACCTCACCGAATGACAAGAGCCAACTACATATGTCACTTTGGGCCAACAGTCGGAGATAAGGTAAGCATGTCAGTTCGTGGTAGTGCCATTAGGAAATGCCGTGGGAGGCCGCACAAATTCAGAAGTGCATGAGTGTATGCCACACTAGTGGTGAATTAGCAATAATAATATTTAATTTTCTTTTCAAGCTATATCATTGAAAGGTTAGTCAATATTATAGTCCGACGTTAATTAAGTTTAAGTGGCAAAAGGGGTACTAGCTTTTCTGCCGCCAATTTAGAGCTGTAGTGGGTGGTGTGAATAAAAGAAGCAAACGTTTTGGTGTTTCAACTGCCTTTCTGATAAGTATTTCACGATAACGATTAAAAACGTGGGAAACTGGGAATATGTCGCATATGGCGCCAGGCTCTGTATGAAATTGTTTAATCCTCTAAACAGCGACAAAAAATTCGAGCGTTTCGGTTTCAATTTCCAAATACGGAGTCGTACTACTCGCTTGGACTTCCAATCTATGAACTCTTCCCCACGTTCCAGAAATTTGTAGGTGTTAAAAAATACTCTAATAATTGTTCTACTTGCAGTAAATACTGCTTAAAATTAATCGTGCACTTTAATAACCTGCGGAGTTCTTATTAGCTTTTCTCTCCAAGCAGTGAAAGTTGCAGAAACAATTTGAGAGTAGCAAGCAGTGCAACACACACCCTTAACTTACAGCCAGAAGAAGTGGACAGGTCTTCAGGTGGCAATTATATGCCTCTAATGTTCATCGATGGCACGCACTGGGGTTGGTGAAGCACGGGGCAAGTTTGGAGCTCCAAACATTGCCAGTGTTTGGCTATTATTGTCGCAGCAGCGATTAGACACGAAATGCTATCCGAAACTTGGACGAGGCGTTGATTGTTACAAGCCCATGCCGAGTGCTCAAGCAGTGCCCGTTTCTAATTCAATAAGACGCATTTGGCTATCGTCACTATGGGGTACCGTGGCTTTGTTAGTACTTCAATACAAATGCATACGTCGTCAAGTTTTGCGGAGGAAAATCCGAATGAAACAGTCCAATTTTTTTACGAAAGTACTCCGCGACAAGAAAGCTTCCGAATTAGTGGCCTTGCGTGCGAATATACATAAGTCAGACTACACTCTTAGAAAAAAGGTTATCGATAGTCCTCCCTAAGGGGATGAACGCCTTTGTAACCCTGCCTCAGGGACTATCGTCCCGGAAGCAGGGGAGCAAATAGTTCCTCCGTCGCCTGCACCCCATTATGGCGGCCCTGAATCGTGCAAATCGAGCTCAATAAGGCTTGACGACGACGCTAAGTCTCTTGTACGGGACGAGACGAGCAGCAAATAAAAGCGTAACACGAGCTTTCCGCGAACTGTGTTTATTTTCTAAGTTAGATTTCCCCCTCAGGTACAGAAACTTGCGTTTGTAAAGCAGTTACTCGGTCTTCTCGTCGTCAGCACTGCGATATTAAACGGAGACAACCGATACCCAGTTACTTCGCACACTTTACGTCTTACCTCTGCTGTTCCTCAAATCACGATTCCTTCGTCAACCGCACATCAGGGAGGAATGGCAAACCAAACCGCGAAACCAAAAGCCGCTCTCAAAAGAACAAACCCGAAGCCGCTGTTTATCGCGTAGCGTGAAAGAAGGTTAAATCGCTTGCCAACAGATGGCAGGGTCTAGCAGAGTAATTTCAAGTAGCTAGGCTAGGTGGCCCCAGGTACCGCCCAATTCATGTTTTACAAAAAATAACTTTGTTTCCTCAAGCCACCTTGCGCTTCGGGATCCTCTACTATAGACACATGTAGACACATTAACAACACTACAAGCATCAGGTGAACACGCATTGAGCGCATACACATACATTGCACACCAATACAGCGGCACAATAACCCGGTCACTACTTCCGAGCTCTGCTTTTCCGTCTTTTATACTGGTCGCTTTGAACGTACAGAATTTCTCGGTGACTGCCTAAGCAATAAAAAATATTCCCATCATGTTGATTTGTTTCCAGCAATGTCATACCTCTGAGAGTATTTTGAATGGCTCAGGGGATGAATCTCTTAATAAAAAGAAACCGCTCGAGCATGCCGTAATTATTTGAAAGCCAATAAATCAAGCCGCTCCAATGTGTTTCGAAGCCATTAGTTTGTTTTCCCGCACGGCACGTCGTAGCTTTTATTTCTATTGTAGTGTTTGTTTTTTCTATTCAAGACGGCAATTGCAGCGCACGGCTGCAATTGCCGTCTTGAATTAATCACTGCAGAGCGCGGATATTCACTCAGCTGGAAGCGATGCTTCACGGGCAGAGAAATCGCTTTTCGATCAACTTGAATGCAGTCAAAGCCGCGACTTGCGGCAGGTGTTAAGTGCACGGAGCTACGCCGTGGCGAGCTCGAAAACTTCTAACGCTCATCCCAGCCCTTCACTTGGAGGGTAGTTTCTCTAGGAACCGTAGTATATTTAAACAACAAAATTAAGGGTGGCTTTTTTTTTCAATTTTACCCACTATTCATTTTTAATGCTAAAATTCCACACTGTAAATATACGCACTTTCCGTCATAATTTCGTACTGTTCAGTTCTTTTCCCAGAGCACAATCGCTCTCGGGGAGGAGACAACCGGCAGTCACATTGGCCACTGTACGATAGGAGCTTACTGTTCAGACCAGCATTCCAACATGACTATCCGCATGTCGATCGATTGCACCTTATCCCTCAACACGGCCCGGCCAGCGGTATCAATGCCCGACAATTTACGTCATCTCATCTTGTTGTTACAGCACTGATACGCGAACACACGGTCACATCGGCGATAATTCCAGTATTCTGTTCACAACGCACAACACTGCTATCACGATGTTGCTGCTATGTTGCTGGCAGGCAGAAATACCGTACCACGTTGAACGCCGGTTGGCGCACGGAATCGGAAAAACAGGACCGAACTCAGCACGGAAGTCACCCAGGCAGTCGGCAGCAAAACCTGCCTGTATTGGACGCAGTTCCTGAGATTTCCATATCTTCGAAAACGTCGACACAGTTCCGCGTGGTTCCGCTACTGTAGTTCCGCGTGGCTCCCGGAATCCGGAGACGGCTATCTTACCCAGTGTACGTAGCGCTGCTGGTACTGCTCCGGAACTTCGCTGCTTCTAGCGGCTTTGTTTGCTCGTTTGATAAAATTAGTGACAAAAACGTGAAACCAACCGAAATGTTCTGCACGTTTGGACTAGAAGACGGAATTACAGGCGGCCTTCGCTGCCGCTGAAGCTCAATCAACTCAACAACATTTATTAAACAACGTTCGCGACGTGCTCGAAAAACAAAACCGAAAGAAGATGAGTCGGGAAGGCGAAAGCTTTCTCCCGTCTGCCTGGAGAAGGAGAAAAACGTTTTGTTCCTCCACTTTTCTCGTGTCCGCTTGGGGGCGCGTCAGTAGAAGGGATGAAGACGCGCCGTTGCTACCCTTTTCCTCCGTTTTTTTTGTGTGTTTACTCTGTTCACCCTCATGCTGAGACTGCAGTCAAAGCTGCAAGCGCGAGCTAGCCCGCGCTCCTGGCTTTGAAACGTGCATTTCGGGAGCGAGTGCTCGTTTTGCGAAGAACGCATCAAAACGGCGACCTCGAGCTCTCATGCTGTGACATTGGTTGCAGTTTCCGCTTAAGGGTGGACGGAGTATAGTGCCGGTAAGCTTGTGCAAAGTAAGAAGCATCCCACTTTAATATCTTTGCATGTCTATTCCCAGGAAATATTTATTTTCTACCTTAGTGTCGCCCTCAGATAGTTGCACTAGTGTGCCTCAACATAGGGTGATGCCATCCTTTGCAGTACTCGAAGCCGACAGCACGCCCTCAGAAGAAAACTACAAAGAAATCGTCGAGAACAGAATGTCACCGTAAGACACCCGGCGCCACGATCGCGTGAAGGGACATGCTCTTTCACGCGATTAAGAAAAAAAAAAGTTCGGAGCAAATTTGCTAGATGTCGTCACCCTAAGCAACGCGTACATGAAGACACCCTAAGTTGCACAATTCTGCAGTGTTTTGGTGTTACGAATGGCGGGCTCGCATTCCTGATATGGCGGACGCGAGTATTCTCGACATTATTTTATATCAATTCTTTTTCTTTCCTGATTTATGCAGAACCAAAAGGCGACTACGCTCACTGGTCATGTGATTGTTGTACGAACTTAGTTTTAATAAAAATCACTTGCGTGAGAAATTGATACACGGTGGCTTTCTTCTTCAGGTGAAACTTGCGGACACATGCCTGGTAGTAGAAGTGGAGAAAGACCACACTTCCTACGGAGATGAAGTAATGTTTGGAGGAGGCAAGGTAAGAAATATATTTTTGCTTATTGCTCCAAGAAGATTTTTCTCCGGTATGTTCGCCATATTGCGGTACGTGAATGTGTATCACTATTTTGTCAAGGTGATCAGGGACGGGATGGGGCAAGCCAGCTACCGACGATCTGAGGAGGTTCTCGACGTTGTCATTACCAATGCACTCATTATCGACGCTGTGCTTGGCATCGTGAAAGCCGACGTTGGCATCAAAGTGAGTACCCCGGAGACTCGTGGTTACAGGTGAACGCGGTGATTTCAAATAACGATTTCAGGACCAACTCCACTGCATCAACTGAACGTGGAGAAATATATAATTCGGACGTGGTGTCATTGTTTTTACTCTAGAATAAAAAAAAATAAAAAAAAAAACGTTTTTATACATTAGTGAGGGTTCCATCAAAGTGTCTTTAAACAAACACCCCCTTTCAGTTGGATTCTATGTACAGTTTTAGGCGCCACATTTTAAACAGCCTTATTTACGCCTAGATCTATATTTAAATTATAGCAAGCATATGGTGTCATTCAAATGAAACGGTCTTTTGGTCTCCAGCAGGGCGGGGTTAATTTCTTAATGAACAACCTCGTTTAAGAACTGTCTGGTAAGGATTTTCACAGTGCTGCAATGAGAACCAGCTATTGATATTTAACAATGTATGTTAATAAATATTTAATTTTTTTTTCGATATACAGGGCGTTTCAATATAAAGGCCCTGTCGCTCTTGCTAAAAGTGTGCATTGCATTAAAAAAATATGCTGATGCCGTTTTGGATTCTGGGAAAAATAATTAAATAAAGCAGATTTGGTGTAATTAACTATTTAATTAGTAAGAATAAAGGTGCGGTTTTAATTAAAACCTTTCTGGGTATAATTGAAAACCCCTATACACGTACCTTTTACAAAAATGTAAGACACGAACGACATTTTACGGCGTTCATAAAATACGCTACACTTGGATCTGTTTGGAAGTGGACATAACCCGATACAAGGAAGGAAAAATGTTATGTGCTGACCCTTCCTTTAATGAATCTTTCACTTCCTTCCCTGTATCAGGTTAGGTTATCTAACCTTTTCACCAGCTCGCCTGTGCGCTCACTCTTCTTTTGCTTCGAAGTTTTCGTTTCCTATAAACTGCATTTCCTCGCCGGCGGATCATGCTAAATTACCCACGCATCAACGAGAATGCTGGGAATGTAAGTATACGCGCCGCACGCACTCGCGTCGCCCATATAAGATATTCAAATTAAAGGAGCTGTGCAACAGTTTCAGTGCTCTGCTTAAATAATTTTGGAGTTGGTGTCTCGACCTTTCTGAAGTAAAGAACGAAAAATCGCTTTTGCCTGCATGTCCTAGTTTTTATTTTAAAAATGGACAAAGATTGAGGTTTTCGGCACCTCTCAACTCCTTCACCATCTTCCGAGTAACGTGTGCTGTGACCTCAATGAGGGTTGCGCGGAGTTCCGGTGAAGCTCTCTCCGTCAGTGAGCGGCGAGAACTCATCCGCTCGCGACCGGGTGACCACGTGCTGGCGGGCGCAGCGCGAACAATATGTCGAAAGGAGGAAACTCTCATCCGAGTCCGGCCATACCCGTCCAGCTCTGTCGCCCTCCCCCTCCGGCTTCTGGCGGCTGTTCGTGGTAGCAGATAGAGCTGACGGTTTTGTGGACCTAGGATAGATGGCGCCACTAAAACTCCGTATAATAAAAGTTTTGTCGATGATACCAGGCTTTTGACGCATTTATATTTATGTTTCAACGACGAGATTTATAAAAAAATTTCCTTTTATCGAGCAGATATTCGCACAACTTGCTATCTTTCTACAAGACCCCCATTGACTACACGCCGGGTGTTTCTCATGGCCGCTGCTCGCGGCTGCAGGTCGGAGAATATTCTAATTTTTGCCTCGCGATTACGCGGCGGAATCACAACATCTCGAAGGAAAGAGGTGTGCTTTCTGTCCTTTCTGACAAGGTGAACAATGTCACAAGTCGAAGATGCCAATTATTTCAACGTTAAAAACCGTTGCATGACTCCTTTAAACAACCAAAAGAAGGCGTTTACGAGCGCGGGTTTACGACGCCATTTTCTTTTGGTCATTTATTTCGAATTTTTTTATATGAAGAAGGAGAGCATGTAGCGCGTATACCTACGTTACCAGCATTCTCCTTGACGCTTGGGTAATTTAGCAGAAGGTCTATACGCGAAGCTATCGCGTTGTCTCCGAAATGCAACGCGATGAAAGGCTGTTCTGCTTAAAAGGAATTGTCCGATCGAAACCGGAAGTACTTAAGCTTTTGCGCTCGTTACGTCGAGAGAGCCTTCATGCAAACAAACGTCATTTTATATTGATATATGATCTCCCCCTATTAACGAAACCTATCATTAACGTATGTACGAAACTGCAGCCCGAATTTCGGCAGTGTCAATGACTGACATCCGTAGCTGCTGCGTGACGTCACAAAACGGAAAGGTTTGTCGGATGGTCGGCATAACAAGCGGTGTTCGATGGATGTCTTGTGTTTTGTTTCGAATTATAGTCTCCTAGGCTGTACCCTACTGAAATGCGGTTCCTTTAATGTAGTTCCCGAGCGTGTGCATACAAAATCACGCCTTTTAGCAGGATATTACTCGAAAAAAGCCATAAGCTTTGTACAAACGTATGCCGTTTCGCGCAAACACAACTGCGACGGCCACCGATTAAACTAGGAGCGCTTGCAAAGCAAAGAATCAGATTTTGCCTCTGAAGCGGCATGCCTAGGTACAGTGCGCCCCAAACTTAACGCTGCCACTCGAACGCCCGTCTTTCACGGAGCGGCGCTATCCTGGCGGCAGCCGTTTCAACTAGTCGGTCACGTGAAGTCCATTCCCAATCTCCGGACCGGGGGAAGGGAAGGTAGCAGGGCCGCCGCTAAGGCCCCCTGACTTTGCGAATCACGGATGCATATCGTCGGAATCGCGTTTTTTTTTTGTTTTTTTTTGTTTTTTGTGCGCTTTGTTTGCATTTTAGGAGCGCCTTCAAGCTTTCTCCGATGCATTATCAAAATTTATTTGTTAGTAATCTTTAAGGTGCAAACAAAATGTAAAAACAACGCGATTCTGACGATATGAGTTTGTGTTTCGCAGAGTCAGGCGCCCCTAGCGGCGGCCCTTTTACCTCCCCTTCCCCCGGTCCGGAGACTGGGAATGGCCTTCACGTGAACGACTTGTTGAAACGGCTGCCGCTAGGAAAGCGCGGCTACGCGAAAGTTGGGCGTTCGAGTGGCGGCGTTAAGTTTGGGGCGCACTGTACATGAAGCGGCATCTGGGTACACATATCGGCGGATCCACTGGATCGGTGATGAGGCTGCGGGTCGTTCCCTCGGAGTCGATGTCCGCGCCGCTCGAAGGCAAACTGCGAATCGTTCAAATGCATGTCGTCACTTCGGCGAGCCTGGTGAATTGTAGCCGCGCTCCATTTTTACACGCTGGTCAAACAGAATCTGCAGCTGGACGCGTGCTAATTACAACTTTTGGCATTGTTTCAAGATGGCCTAACTGTTGGTTTCGGTTTGGCTGCATAATCAAACCGATTGATCCGATTCGGGCGACGTGTGGGTAGACGTAGTTGAATATCATTGGCACAGCATCACACCTCGGCTTACGAGCCTTCTATCAGCTTAGAGCTCAGCTCGTAGCTCTCTTCCGTGAGATGATATTTGCATAAGCGGGATCTCGATCTTGATGGGAACTCAGTCCCTACGCACGGCGACGATCCGTTTTGCTCGTCACTGCAAGTCTCGCGGAAAAGTGTGGAACGTCACGTTTTGGCTCGCATGAGCTGCCCGGTGGTTGTGGCACCAAACCGCGCAACAAAAATCTCACCCATCTACGAAACAAGTCGAGCGCAACAACAGAAACGAAGCACGCTGCGGCGTTCACTCGCAGGCAAACGACGAGACGGAAATGCTCGCTTTGTGTTGTGTGACGTCACAGCTTCAATGCTGCAAACGAAACCAGCGTTTAGGCTAGGATGCGATTGGAGAAGTATAAATTCAATTACACATGCAGAGGGGCATATAAAATTCAGAGATTGCGTGTCCGATGCCTCTCGAGGCAATAACAATGATATTCAATTGTTTTCTTGAATACAAAATTTGACCGGACAATCCCTTTAATGACTGCGAGAATAATCTTTTAAAGGAACAATGAAGGCGATTTCAGATATTTTTTTTTTGGCGATTCAACTGGGTTCCAAGCATGTCTCCGACCATGTTGCCCAAAATTTCAGCCAAAACCGGCGCTTGTGTGCAGCGCAAACCAATTAAACAGTCGCGGGGATCATCGTACCGGGATCGACTGGAGCGACGCCCCGAAAGCTGCGGGAGAAGCCAGGAGAAGCGGAGCTCACGTGACCCTTGCGCGGTCAAGAATCTTGAGGACCGGAAGTCGCAGTCGTTAATATTTCAGAAGCAAGCGATTACCGGCATACTTCTGTCGAAACATATATGACATTCAAGCTTTCTATATCTGTGATTTTTAGAAGTTTATAGCCTACTCCTGATTTTTGAACTGTCGGGTTTTCGTAGCGAAACCTAGCCACATGTATTCGTCCACACCAACGACCCTAGCAACGGTTTGTTTGAACCCATGACGTCACACTTGCGAAGTCCATTATGCTGTTTTATTTACGGTTTATTAATCATTTTCGGTCCGATTTATACTTTTCATGGTTATTCAAGCGGAAATTAGAACAGTATTCCTAAAAGTCGCAAACCAAAACGTGACAGAGGGCACGTCTCTCGTTGCTTCCTGTTGATGAATCGTTTGAAGTAGCCGTTGTTTAGAAGTTCTATCTTGAACTTCCGAACCACTTCTCAGAGAGACTCCTGTGTCGAGCTTACTGTCATAGCACGTCTCAAGAGCGCATTAACTACTAGAAACTTGTGGGATCTAGGATGATACTGTTTCAGCAGTCACTAAAGCCTTGTGGATCCTGAGAGAGATAATAGTTGTTTATTCACAGTCATGAAGAGGTCAACCTCTGGATCCTGATTTATCAATAGAATCTGCAAGTAGTTGCTCCGCCCCCGTCTGTCCAAGGTCCCGGCACTTTCCAGCCATTCCCATCTGCGGCATGCGTTAGCAAGACCATCGAACGCGTGCTTCAAAAACCTGATATCGCGGCTACTCTCAAGCCGGTGTCCACAATCCGTTACTAACATGCTCTCTCCAAGGACAGACAGGAAAAGTTGAAGTCTCGAGGCATCATCAACTGCATGGGTCGTAAATGTTTCGCAGTGGCGGGCCGAGTCGTCACGACGCCGACACGGAAGGGGCCGGACGGCAAGTCGCGAAGCAGGGGGAAGGAAGGGGGGGGGGGGGGGGGGAATGCCAAAAGGAAAGTGAAGATACTCTCTGCCTAATTATGGACAACTATGGACAATGCCAATAGGAAGTGCTACTTGTGCCTGTTTAGCTCCACTTGTGGTCGAAACGGCCCTGTGGTCGTTGAGTCGCCTATGTTAGGGAGTAACAGAAAAAGTGTGGCCCGGAGGGCCGCACTTTTTCTGTCACTTTCTAACAGGGGAGGGGGGGTCTTTACTGGTGTCGTGCCGGGGACCGCATAAAACTGGCTCACGGATTGCGGATTACCGACCCTTGATCTACCGCATCCCGTCCAGGGACTACACTGCTGCCTACGTGGAGGAAACCAAAACTTCCCAGAACGCATCCGCCGCCACGAATACGACGTGAAGAAAAGCGAAGTTCAAGCGAGTGCCCTCCCCGAATATGCAGCGAAATCGGCTCACTATGTGTGCTTTGACAAACGCGAGATCCTCAGCCATGCAGGTGCCGCTCCGCGCTGACGGAAATATAGCAGGAACGACGCCGCTTGCAGCAGCGTCTAGCGATTTCGGCGAAGCTGACAGGGATACAATTTGCGTCATCCAGCCTACATATATGTGCCCAGTTTCTCTAGACTACAGTGGTCTCGAAACAACCGCGCCGCAGGCCAGATTCGGCCCGTGGTAGTCTTCTGACCAGCCCGTGGCTGGCCGCGGTATTTCCAGAAAGGCCGGACGCGCGGCCCGCTTCGAGCGGTCCTGTTGCTACGGGCGCATAAATAGGCGCGCGTAAACAAACTTGCCGCGGTGCGCACGGAACGCTCGTATCCGTTTTGATTCATAACCAGCTGGCGGTTTGGTTTCCTCTTTATCGCACATTGTCATCACGTATTTTATTCCATGTTTCATGTCTGCGTATCAATCTTACAATTCCTTTGCGTTCTAAGGTATAATGGCTAAGTGTCTCATTTCTAATTATTTTATGTTGTCAGCCCCACTTCTACTACCTACCCTACCGAAAAATCCAGTATAACTTTTTGATATCCGGATGATGGAACCGGAAATTTATCTGGATTCTATCTGGACTCTAACTGGATTTTAGGTTTTCATAAATTATTCCTTTGTCTGCAATCTGGATTTCGGGTTTCCAGAAACAAATTTCCGGTTCCATAATCCGGATAGTGAAAAGTTCTACCGGATTTTTCGGTAGGGTAATTAGTCTTCTGCTCTGTTGAATATTTGAAAGTTACTTTGTTTTACGCCCTGTGAGTTTCCAGGATAGCAAATATTGCACAGTATCGTAATTAAGTCAATAATAAATATAGAAATACCATTGTACTATAGGTATTTATTCACTTTAATTCATTTTATATATATTTTACTCTAACTTGAACTTCTCTATTTAAATTCTTATCTAGGCTTACTTATTTAGTTTGTTTGCCCATTTATTATATTCTTCAGCCATCAAGATTGCCACAGGTCTCCAGTCCGGCCCCTTATCTAAAACATTTGGAGACCCCTGCACTTGACAAGCACGTCCCCATTCTTTGTCACCACTCCCCTTACAACACTAGTACGGCAAAAAGGCGATTTTTAAATTAAAGCATTTATTAGAGTTTTCATTTGTCGTCATAAAATTGAAAGTTACAAACAGCGCGAGACGTCTTAGTCTAAATAGGGCAAAAAACACTAGAATTGTATTGATGGAATTTCTGCGCCTGCTATTGCAGGCCAGCGCGGGGCTAAGGCCGGACAAGAGTGATGCATTCGACTGGGACCCTTGTAGAATCGCTGAAGTCCCGAGTTTCAGAAGACTGCAGCACTCGTATCCAATCGCGTTGGCCTCTAGTAGGTGATGGACACAACTAGCGCCTTATTATACTGGGGTGCGTTTAAAAAATACGTTTTTTTTTCTGGAAAATAAAGTCGACCCAGGAACAACGAGCCAAGCGTTTTGGCGGCAAACTCTTTCTGCGCAGATGTCTTCGTTAATCCTGCTGACATTTTTTTGGGTGCACGGCTATCGAAAGGGTCGTGTATAACATCTATGTGACGCGAACATTACGTTACAGGATGCAGTTTGTTTTTTGGGGGATAGCTCCGTCAACAGTAGAGGTCCCACACGTCGAGCATTCGTTGCTTGTTTCCTCTGTGCAGGGCAACACAATCGTAGGCATCGGAAAGTCAGGTAACCCGGACGTGATGGCGGGCGTGGACCCATGCTTGGTGATCGGTTGCGGCACAGAAGTCGTGGCCGGGGAAGGACTCATCCTTACCGCTGGAGCTATCGACACCCATGTTCACTACATCTGTCCACAGATTGTCAAACAGGCGAGACAATCGATAATTGTTCCTAAAACAAACTTGGACGCAGACTGGGTGGAAAGCGCCGAATCTTCTTTCCGGTGCTTGGATTTAGCAGCGATGATAGTGGCGTTCTGGTTCACCCTAAACCTAATTTCATCTGCATTTCTTTCACACGGGGGATTGAATCCCATACACTCCAGTCGTCCTCCTAGTTCAGACCTTCCCAGTGTTTTTGGTAGGCCCAATCGACATTCGGTACTCTGCTGACACACGTATCCCATAATGCATTTGAACCGTCAATGCAGCTTCAGTTTCGTACTTTCCCCATCATTGACCGAGGGCTCATCGAATTCTCAACTGGGATTGGATTTTCTACCGTGCAACCACTGTCTGTAATAGCAAAGTAGAAATGACATTTATAGTATTACTTATAATATTGTAAAACTCTTATGGTTTTTATTATTGCAAACCTGTCTAGCCTTGAGTGGCCATTGTGAACGTATACTACAATAGTAATAAAATTATAATACTACTACTGCTACTACTATTAATAATAATACAAATATTATTAATAATTAGTGTTCATTTGAGAAGCTGGAGGGTATTGAGAGGAGGACATAGGTTCGACAAATCCTTTGAGGGCTCCCGGTGAAAACAAAGTCGGGGGGCTGTAAACATATAATAATAATAAGAATAGAGTAATATAATATATAGGAAATGTTCTATTGACGTATCAAGCCACTATTAAGAAACGCCTGAATGGACTTATATAATTTTTTGTTTTTGTTTTTCTGTCGAGGTATTTCAAAAGTTTGTAAGGTAACCGTGTGAAAAAGCACTGCTTGTCATCTCTTCGGGGATCTGTCTGTACCCAGTGTTTGCGATAAAATAAAAGTGTATTTAGTACCCACATAAATTACCTGCGCACCGCCGCAAGCTGAAAATCTGCGAGAATGAAACCAGTAGCGACGATGAGAAAACGCGAATGTTTGGGAGCATATCATTGCCCGAATAAAAACAAATCGAAGAACAGGGATATTTCTTTATGAGCCGACGTCCACCTAAAACTAATATTGTCAAAGTACGGGGCTACAATAGGGGGGGCATGTGGCATTTATTGCAGAAAAATATCTTGACAGAAAAAATCTAAATAATATTCTCTACCTGGCTGTCATAAGTATCTCACTGATACAATTGACGCGTAAACCGACAATGCCATCTCTTGATTTGATCACATAAGGTTGACGTGTACTTAAAGGGAACTTTTGGCTTTCTTTTTTATATTTTGGTCCAGGTAATGAATGTGGAGTTCTCAAACCTATTATTACCACCGCTTGCTTCCCATACTCACAAAGTGTAAGCTTTCTGGTATGTGCAGAGTATTTACGTACGTGCTTCTATTTTGTTTGCGTCACCAGGCCTTTCGGAGCAGCTTTATGTTACACTCGGCAGTGAAACATTAAGCGCCGATAGCTTAAATATTTACACAAGAAGCGGAGTGCAAATGTCTCAGTTTGACTTTACTACACTGCAATGGGGAATAGTTTCAGAGTAGAGTACTTGAGAGGCCGAATTTCACTGATGAATAACGTTGACCTTTTCATCTTTTTTTTAATTCTTACCTGTGTCTCACTCGCGACACCGTCGGGCCGAGCAGGCCATCGCTGGAGGAATCACCACACTCATCGGCGGAGGGTCAGGACCTGCTTCTGGGACCCGTGCCACGACGTGCACCCCAGGCCCGGACTGCATTGAGTGAGCCCAGCTATATAGCGCTTTCTCGCTGCGAAGTCTTTAATTTTGTTTCGTGATCCCGAAGTGTTCCGTCGTGTGAAAGAAGAAGCGCACACGTAGTACTATAAGTTGGTATGTGAAAAACGCAATATCGCTTAAAGCTCATTGGTGTCACTGTCGCTCAATAGGCTAGCACTATGACCCGTAAATTGCTCGTACCTGTCATCGCTGTATCCCTTTCAGCGCGACTGTACGTAGTCGCGCTGAAAGGGATACAGCAAGCTTCTTGCGCAAATTATATTTTCTGAATACCCGCACTTTGCTCTTCCCGGCGAGATATTCAGAATTTCTAACTGGAGAATAGATATCAAGAAAACGGCAAATGAACGCGATGCCAAAACCAACATTCAGATTTTCCTGCGGATTTCAGTGCAGTGTAGCGGCTGAAGGTAAGACAAGAAGCTCAAGCGGGCAGCCTATAAAAGTTAGTATCTCGCGCATTTCTTTCATACTGCTGAACAAGTACAGGGTGAGCTTACTTGACATTTGTTTCGCAACATCAAATTTCTCGTAATTAGTTCGGAACAAGTTCTACTACACAAATTGCGAACCAGTGCCTGCTGGCGGCGTAATTTTTCAGTGTTGCTCTACTAGGGGGAAAACGTTCTGTGGAAATGGAGCCAAACCTACAGAGTCTAAGCACACCTTTTCACTGCGCAGATGAATATAGTCCAGTTAAAATAATTCGATGGATGTTACTTAACCGCCAAGAAATATAAATTTTTTTTTTTTTAGTTTTGATTTTACGATGCTACTATGTTATTTGTCAGAGTATGCAACACTTATAACAATGTTTTTTAGGTGCTTCGGTTTTTCTCGGTTTAAAGGGCAACTCCGGCCAAAACTCAAAATGAATTAAATTACTGGTATCGCTTTAGTGACACAAAATACGACCCCAGCCAAATTTTCACGCCCGTGGGACGCCTCATTTTCAACTAATACCGATAATAAAAATGCAACCCGCCGCGAGCCGCTGTTCCTTAGCGGGCGGCCAGCGGGTTGCCGATCGCTAAAACAACATTGGGCCGTGATGTCAACATCGTTCTTTTTTTCCTCCGTTCCGGACGGGCGCACGGCGCAGCCGTCGCGCGCGCTTCTTTGTGCCGCTACCACCGCTACTTCGGCTTGTGATTGCGTGTTTAGCCGTTGCTTTTACCTGTAGCCCGTGTAGCTTCGGTATAGCCTTTTGTTTATTTGCTTCTGAGGACTCCTAGACTCGTTTTAGCGAGCAACTCGGTGCGCCCAAGACTGCCCAGCTGTTCTTCGAAAGATGCCGAGTACAACTTGTAGCGCTGTGGGCTGCTCAAACAACCCGCTGCGCAACCCGGAGGTGCTTTTTCACAAGTTTCCAACGGTTCGGAAATTGGAGAAGGTGTGGGTGAACGCTGTTCGACGAGTGAACTTTCGAAAGCGTTGGACGCCGACCCCCAGATCGAAGCTCTGCTCCGATCATTTTTCGCCGGAGAGTTACGAACGAAACCTACAGGTGTTGGTTGCTTGTGGCTTGTCAGCGAAGGGGTCGAGGCTTAAAAAGGATGCCTTGCCGTCGCTCTTTGCCCACCGCACATGTACAGAAAAGGTAAACATGATAAAAGTATCTAGATCAATAAATAAAACAGTTATTGTCAAGTGCAGTGTTGAAGATTGAGCATTCGCGCTCCATTGAATGTCTGTTGAATGGGGAATGGTGGGCATGTAGAGTACAACCACTAGCTCCAATCACTGAGGTTTATAATGAAAAGGAACACAATGTTCTGCTTTGCGTCACTGCTTGTTTACTACGCAATCTCGTGCGTAGTATTCAGGTCCGTAACGACTACTAGCGAACAGCCGGCGCGTGAAGCTCATGCGATATAAACATTCGCCTCCTAATCGTTCGAACCCTTTACGCAGCAGTATTAATTAACATTGCGGTTGTGAATACCACAAGGGACCTTAAAGAAATCGCGAATGTTCGAATTTGTAAGTTACAACTGTCAAATTTACCCGAGTTCGGCTGGAGGTAAATATAAAATTTAAAAATGCAAAAAGAAAAAACAAAAAAACACTTGCCTTAGTCAAAAGTTACGAACGAAAACTTAAAATCCTATGTATTCCAATAATGTAATGTTCTCACGAGGGCCTTTAAGGTTATATGAATAAATGAATAAAAAAAAAATTGTTGTGGGTGGGGGTGGGAATGCGGAAGGGAAAGAAAGTGTTCTCACCTTGCTAACTTTCTCTGTTTTCCTTTATCACCCACAAAAACTTTTGCTGGCTTTGAGAAAAAAATGACTGACTCAAAAACTTTCTTTTTTATATATTTTTTTTAGTGCGGCACGTTTTTTTTTACAAAGATTTACTACCTGGACGAACTTGTCTGGTGAATTAGTGTCGTAGTTTACAAATTTGGCTTTTACGCGCCTGAGGAAAAGAGAACGAAGAAAAAACAGACGTCTACAGCTTAGCACACGTCTGTTCGGGCGTCGCGGCCCGCCCCGGAGAGCCTCAAAGCTTCGTGTCTGGGACTGACCCGCAGCGCGAAAGCGGGAGGGCCCCCAGTACTGTACGTCACTGGCAGCGCGGCGTAGAGCAACGCCGCTCCATCCACGGAGCCCCGATGACAATTTAAGCCTCGCGACGAGTGCGGGAGACCGCACGCGCGCCGACAGCTGCCGAGTACGGCACCGAACTAGTTCACTCGTTTTCCAGTCGCTAGCTTTTGGGTATACAAGCAACGAGAACGGCACGGCATAGCGCACGCGCGGCGGCGGCCGCCGTGTACGGCACGGAACGAGTTGGCGGGTTTTCCAGTCGCTAGCTTTTGGGTATACGCACTAACTCTTGCTTCATATGCTCGATAACCACCACGTATACAGAATTAAAAAGAAATCAGCTTACCTTCTATCTTTAAACGGCTAGCGCAACAGAGGTAGGTGCCGCTTGGCCTGCGTACTCGTTGAACGAGAACGATCTTGACGTCACGTCCACATAGCGGCTGATTTCCAGTGTTGCCGGACACAAAGTAAAACAAACGGCAACACTGATTTCCAGTGTTGCCGGAACCTCGAGCGGCTAGTTTCGGATTTGTCGGCCGTGCCCCAAACAAAACTTTGAGACGTCGATATCTTTAGAACTACGCACAATAACGAGAAAAAGTACACCTTGCAATTCAGGGGCGCTGACTGCACTAAAAACAGCCATAATCCCAAAATCGAAAGTATGGACCGGAGTTGCCCTTTAAGTTCGTCGGATGTTTTCTATAGTTCCTTGCAAAATAAATATGGCGTCCTTCTCGTGTGTGGTGTATCGTTCGAGCCTTCCTTCAGCTCACAGTTTTGTTCGCCTCTATAGACCATTCCATTTAGCGCTCTCTGGGCGGCACCATTTTGTTTGACCGCAGCGCCCTCTCCACACATCCGGGAAGTTCAGCGGGTTCGGCGGGGTAAAACGAGAGAGAGGGCACGCGCCCGACTCCGCTAGCAGACGACAAACCGGGAGCTTGCCGTTCTCCATCTTGGGGCTGTATCGGCGGGCTCTACCGAACATCGAACTCTCGCTCGTGGCTGCCGTTGTGAAGTGGTTCGCGTTCTTAGAATAGTTGTGGCTACTCCAAAATCAGCCTATAGATCTCTGTTGTTCTATTTTGCTAAATGATCAACTAGCATATCTTTTTTCCGTTACTTAAATAGCAGTTGAGTCAGCCGGCAGTACTACCCTCAAATACTGCGTGTATTGCGGCAGGAGAGCACGTTTTATTTATTCTTTCACACTTCCACTCATGGTCGCTAAAGGCCTACACCAGTACGAGCTTTGTATAGTAAAAAAGGTACAGCAACCGGATTTACTTTTCGCCAAAGAGACCGGCCAATCTGACACAGTTTTCCCTATTTTTTTTTATTTGCACGCAGGTAACAGCGCAATTGGGCCCTGTGAGGCTTTTTATCTAGCATAATATTACACGACAACTGGCATACCAAAATCTGCGCATCTGCGCTTGAAAGTTCCAAAATGACGCGATTTTAAACAGAGTTTGCACGCCAACCGGACGCTAGCTACAGCCCACTCGGCGGAGCGGACGTCATATGGGGTGAGAGGGGGAGTGCATTTATTTTCTTTTACCTTCTCTGCTATTACCCTAATGGAACGGTCTATAGGGGTTTCGCGAAGTTTGGCAATCATCATTTGTCAAAACGAGCCAGGCTAGGCTTTTGCAACGGGTACGCACAAGTAAGACACAGGAAATGGGGACTCTTCATTGTTGCCGTATACCTTTTGGTTAGCGAGCTCACCCGCGTAAGCGAGCAGGCGTTGGGATTGAGGCTATGATCCTTGGATCCTGTAGTTCGAACTTGCGCTACACGTGGTCAGAGATGAAATGTTCCACCAATTCCCCCCGCTCCCCCTAGGGAGTGCGGCAACAGAACACTATCCAAATCGAATTTTACTTTGTGCCGTATAGCGCGTGCGTGATCTTATTTCGGTGTATCACGCCTGCGTTATAATTTTTCAGCACAAGGAGAGTTTATACATCAAAGCCTTTAAAACTGTAGCCCTGATGAATTTCAAGCCATTTCTTAAACCGACGCCGCACATCTTCGTCGGCCGCAAGACAAATCGAATTTGATGAGATTTACCATGGTGGAATTTATGCAAACTTGGAAACAGCGCCAAAAAAAAAAAAAAAGGGACAAGAACGAGAAGTTAGACGAACACAACGCTGCGTTGTGTTCATTCACTTCTTGTTCTTGTCCCTTGTTTTTTGTTTGTTGTTTTTTTTTTTTTTGCGCTTTCTTTAAGTGTGCATCATGAACAAATTAGCCCAACGTCACGCCTTGTTGGTGTAATTTATCCTGTAATTCGGTCTGAGCGCTTCAGCAAAAACGTTGGCTTGTGTGTAGAAACCTGCGAAACGTAGTGAAATAGACGCGGACGTGCCTGCATGCTCGGCAATCGCGGTACAGCGCTCGTAGCCGCGATCATTGTACGAAAATATGGGCTGCAGCAAATGCGTGTCAGTCACACCAGACCCCTAACTGAAACTGAAACCCAAAAAGTCAGGAGCTACTTGGACGCGACAATACAGATCCGTGCGCCCCCCCCCCCCCCCCCCCCCCCCCCCCCCCGTTTCCCGTTTTCTCTTCATTGCCCCAGAAAGTTGTCCCCGAGCTTAGTAGATACTTTCATCTTGAAAAAGAAGAAACACGATGAGGGCCAAAACATGGAATTTTATACCTTCGCAAAACGTTATTGTTTACGCGATATTTCGTTTTTGTGCTGGACCGTACTGGCATGTTGAGCCAATTTTGGGGCACAGACGTGACCGTGAAAAAAAGGGCGGAATACTCCTTTTAAAGGAACACGATAAATTTGTCTTTTGTTTTGCAGCAAATGACTGATTCCAAAAAATAACTGAAGATGCTCGTTCAAAATGCTTTTCATTAGCATGCTTCATTCAAGTATTTGACTGAAATTTGTGTTCTCGCTTTGGTTCTAGGAACATGATGCAAAGCACGGACAATATGCCACTAAATTTCGGCTTCACAGGTGCGTAATTCGTTGAAATTTGTATCACGTAGACACAAGTTTGATTACTGTGGTGCAATTCAACGCGACAATTATTCAGAGCGGTCTAACATCACTCAATTTTTTCAAGAAAAATAAATGCAGTGTAACCACCACTCACTTGGTGAAAAGAAGTAAAGGATAAAAATTCATGCTCTCCTTTCTTCTGAAATAGGAGAGTTTAGTTACAGTTCTCTCTACTTCTTGCTTTTCCCGTTGAAGTAAGTATCAACATCCATTTACCTTTGGCCCTCTTGCCAATTCAGGCAAGGGAAACACGTCTTACACGCAGGGGCTCGCTCCGGAACTCGTATCCCAAGTGGAAGCTGGGGCTATGGGGTGAGTCACGAGCACTGGCCTTGAACTAGAACATTAACCGTAATATGTTTTAGCACTGCATCACCAATTCGCACGATCACAAAGCACCAAGTGTCCAGATAATCGTTCTGCGTCAACTGGTGCAAGTACTCGTTTTCTTAAATTCTTTTTTTATTTGCTGACAAAACACAATAGCTATTTATTAAGTTTCGAATATTTTTTTTTATATTCTCCGAACAGTAGTATTTGTTTAGCGCTTCTAGTTTTTCTCTGCAGGCGCGCTACTGCGCGCTTGCACAAGTACCGTATGATGTCACTACATTCTTCGCCTATGTGCTCTGTTACAGGTTATGAAAAGGAGAACAGGATCCTCTTGCAAAGCATAGCCGTATATGTAGAGAGTCTCGTTATTCATTGTGACGTATGGGAGAAAATTAGGAGGCGCCATCGGCCGAAAGCGGACTGGGCGTGTTCCAAGCCGTCTTCACTAATTCGAATGTGGCCAACCAGAACCCCGAAATAATACCCTGGCGGGGGTTGCGAGAAACAAACTTAATAAGTGCTTCGGAGTAACTCTCGGTGACTGAAAATATGGTGCTCGTGATGTTTCAATCAAGGTCATCCAAAATCGTGGTGGAAGAGTACGACTAGCGGAACGATCGACATCATCCGTTCGTCGGGCGCCGAGGGCCGGGAATCTGCCGTCCGAGTGGTCACACTCTGTGCGAGCAAAACCGAGTTCGAGCGGCACACGTGACGTTTCGATCATGATCGAAACGCCACGTGCACCCTATTCTAAACCATGAAGGGTTACTACATTTGACTCTTACGCGCACCACCACTAGCGGATTCTTCTCGGCTTCTGGGCGGCCAAGGGAGCATGCCAAGCCCTCTTTCTGCGCCTGGAGCACGCCCTGGCTCTGCCCACGCCTCCCATTGGCCAAACTTTCTCTATACACGGGTATGCTGCAAAGTCATTCACTCTATCCACTTTAGCAGAGCGAACGCAGAAAAGAATGCGAGTGGCTCACCTCCTTTTACGGCACTCCTTTAGCGTTCGCTCTTCTTAAATGGCAAGAGCGGAAGCGACGTTCTGGGAGCCGCTTCCTACTGGTTTACTTAACCTGCATCAGATTATAGGCGCGATCACCTTCGGTAGTACCGATTTATTTATATTATTAGGATGTTGTTTCATTTATCTACGACTGCAGGCTGGGTGAACTGAGCACTTTTGACTAAATCTGTTCATATATTTTAATAGGAAGGGTAACGCGGTGGAGTTTCTCTCTATAAATTGTAGGTCGGCGGCTATGCTGCTACTGCTTAGCATGAGCGAAGTAGAAGCTGGACGTTCTTCCAAGATAAAGTGTAATTGAGTATAGACTTGTACGGCAATTACCTTTATTAAGAAGCTTTCCCAGAGTTTCAGTCAGGCTGGTTTTGTAAATCCCTGCACGTTGCGACTGTCCACGTTGCATTATGGGACCCAGTTGGTCACGAAGAGGAATGGCGTGGTTTCACTTTTCATTGCCTTGTTGGCAAAAAGCTTGTTGCTATACTTCGTCTCACCCTACGATAGACTAAAGGCAAAGGCTACGGACCGCCAGATCCAATCACGATTCACTTAGAAATTGCGTATTGCGCTTTGATGCACGTATCAGTGCCCGCGTCTCGGATCACTGATTGGGATTGGAGGACAGTGGTTCGAATCGAAATAGAACTGAGTGACTCAACAATTTTACATTGCAAAAAAAAAAAAGCTGTTTGCAGTGTCGAAGCTATAGAAATGATGCAGCGTTTTTGGGTTGTGAGCATTGTTCGCCCACCCCTAATCAATGCTAGGCATGTCATAGTCAAGTGTAGCGTGGAACGTGATTGGACCTGGCCGTCCGTGGCTTTGGCCTTTAGTCCATCGTAAGATGAGACAAAGTATAGAGTACACTCTAAAGTTGGAGTCTACACCCGCAAAACACTCCAACAGCCAATCTCTGCGATTTACGAAATCAGCTCAGCGAATCATGAGGCGGAGCATCTGTTTAGACCTAAAAATAAAGTCTCCGCTGTGGCATTACGCTAATGCAAAGGGTCATGCTTGCATTGCGTAATGCCACAGCGCAGACTTCACTTTGAGTTCTAAACGGATGTTCCGCCTCATCATTCGCTGAGCAGATTTCGCAGATCGCAGGGATTGGTCCTTTGAGTGTTTTGCGGGTAAGTAGACATGCAGGTATTTTTTATATTGAAGGCTACACGCAAAGTGGACAGCATTCAAGAAAGCTTTTTTTTTATTTTTTTAGGAACCTCTTGTCGATTTGTTTGAGCGTCGAGCGAGAAATGCAACCCAGCACTCCATGAAAATAGAGGCAGCGTCCGCTGGCATCGCATTACTTCATCTTCGGGTCTTGCATACAAACTTACTTTGCGCCTAATACGCAGGCACAACTTCACAAACAATCTTTTTTTTTTTTTTAAGAAAGTTGCGATCAGGCACTTATGTAACGAGTGTGGCCCACGTTTGCCAGTACGTAGGGCTCTGAATCCAACGTGCACAAACAAACAACCTAAAAAATGAATGAAAACACTATGGAGTGGCTTTGATGAGCGTTAATAAATTCACAATTGTGAGTTGTTTGCTAAACTCACCAAGTAAGTTAACATGAAGAATATGAGATCCGCCGTCTAGACATAGATACCTAGCGGCCGTGATGGCCTGACTGGTCCTGGCGAGGAGACGTGGACCGCTGGTGCCTGCTCTGGCACGCTGCACGTCGGGCACTGTCTCCGTCGTAGGGGATTTAACAGTTTATAGATACGCCATTCCTAATCACTGTAAAATGTGTGAGGGAGATTTTATTCGACACGAGGAAGACTTAGACGTTCAGGGGAGGTCTGGCTTGCCCCCCCCCCCCCCCCCTCCCCCCCCCACCCCCGACTCAAAACAACTTGGTACGCCACTGATTCCCGCTCCTGGCCGCAATGCCTGATGGGACCGCACCCCGGCGCACAGTGCGCATTGGAGCAACGAAAAGCCGCACCGGGAGGGTGCGCTACGTTGCTCGAGGACGTCCGGTGCGCACCGGTGCACTTGATTGAAGACGACGGGGCGCACCTCTGTGCAATGGTGCGCACCGGTGCGGATGATGGAGGATGCTATAGGAATCAGTCACAGTGTCATATAACACTGCGACATTACGTAACACCGTGACGTCACGCGGAGCATTTCCCCGTTAAATTTAGCAGATACATTTCCCGGCAGAGCTTAGCTGATGAATTTCGCCGTTGAATTTGGCGAAGACATTCCTTAGCACGGGCTCGCCCAATAGAGCCCACTACCAATTTTGTAATCAATATTTTGTTGCAGGGTTTGACCATGTTGACGTCGAGCTTCAATTCAGCAAATTATTATCCACCAAAACAATTTTGGTAGGAAATTAAAACTTGTTATACTCTGTTCATCCTTAAGCTGAGACTACAGTCAAAGGTACAAGCCCGAGCTAGCCCGCGCTTCTGGCTTTGCTAGGTGTATTTCAAGCTGGAGCCCTCGTTTTGCGGAAGAACGCCTTAAAGCAGCGATCTCAAGCACCTCGTGCTCTTTGCAATCGCTGCAGTTTCAGCTTAACAGTGAACGGACTATAGAAAGTTATACAAAGAATTAAAAATGTTTTCTAATTTTTAGATGGCTGCCGTTTTCAATATCTTGCCACAGAGCTAAGCACCCAGTAATCTACGTTCCCTTAAAAAAAAAAAAGAAAAAAAAAGATTTACTTAGGAAGCACCCTGTATATCAAGCAACAATAATATTTCAGTCCATTTCCAGGTCACCGCGAATGTATTAGCTACGCATGTTTTGGCTGTGAAATTAAAAAAAAAAAACACTGACAAGTTTTTTTTCCATGCGATGTTTTATTGTGTCAGAACACTACTGAATCATTATTCTGCTGCATAGTCACGTATATTTTTAATAAGGCAAGAAAACTAACTAATCCGAAACCGAAACATGAGCACGGAGATTCATGACCGACATAACCGACCGATTACGTCACGGTGTCACGTGACGTTACGGCGTCAATAACGGTAATGGATCTAGTGACGTTTTCAATTTAAATTGTTTGACGCAGTGAGTCGCGTTACGTCACGAGGTTACGTGACGTGACAATACTTGACAGCATGCCTTGACACCATGACGTCACGTGACCACGTGACACGGGATTAATCATAGTGGCACTACAATATCTCCACGAAAAACCATAATTTCTTATACATCGCAGTCCTCTATATGACGATATGATCAATACATAGAAATACAGAGCTCAAGCAATTTTTAATACTCAAATATTCATGTTGTGATAATGACAACAACAAAAACTTATATGGACCGTTTTGAACCGGTTACCGTTATATTTATTTCCGGTTCAGTTCCTGTTTGGTTCCAAGAGGGCGGCAAAGATTTCGTTTCGCTTGAGTTTCGGTTCGGCTAAAAATAACGCTTAGGCTCCGGTTTTCAGTTCGGTTTGGTTTCGGTTCGTCACTCTGATCTCAGTACAAACTTTGAAGGAAATCTACAAAATGAGTAGAGAAACCAAAGGCCGCCAAAACTCTGAAAAGATAGCGATGTTCTAACTTATCAAAAGCCTAGGCTTGATCGAGTGAAATGAATGCGCTAGCTATCTGTCGTAACTAAGCATATGCCAAGAAGTCCCGTGTCAACGACAGGCAAGACAAATTGTGTGTTCTAGAACTCTGCCCGTTTGAAAGCGGCTGGTGATTACTGAAAAAATATATAGCTACGTGCTATATATAGCTAGCTATAAAAATACAGCGCTTCAGCTCTTCACCTAAAAAAAGTAGCGATGCTGGATCATATAATCGGCGTTTAGTAACGTGATGGGCCGCCAAGCTTGAGGGCCAGGCAAGAAATCGGAATTCTTTTTGATAAAAATGACTCTCCCTTGCTTGAAGAAAGCGGGCATACAACCAGTACTGAAAAATGTATTAACATTTACAAGCGCGTTCCCCCGAACGTCCCAGAACTTACAATAAAGTTCAGTCGGCAAAACCCCAAGGCCCGTGGCGGAGCCGGCCTTCGTGAAATGCAAAGCGACCGAGACCTTCAGACGTGTAGTAGGACGCAGAAGAATCTCGTTCATTTTAGCCGGGACCCCTGAAAGGTCGCCACAAAACTGCCGCACGGTGGAAGGCAAGCGGCTCATAGCCCCTCCTTGCTTGGAAGATAACATACGAGAAAAGTAGCCCCGAAACAGGTTCTCGAAGTCCTCCTGCCTAAAGGACTCGCGGCCAAAGGGCAAGGTACCGGCCGTCCCCCGCGTGGGGTCACGCCTCTTTGTGCGAACACGCGGAGGTAGCGTAGTACCTCGGAATCGTTCACGGGAGTACCCCTCACAAAGTGGACACTGGCTGTTCGTGAGTTGTAAGGGAGCAAGCAGGTGGCTGTAACGTGTCCGGAGCACAGCTGGGCTCTTGCATAAGCATAGTTTCCGAACCGTCATTCTGCAAAATGCGCATGCGCATGATTATATTGTTAAAAAGTGCAGTTTGTGCTAGCTTGCGCTGCCTGACAGTAGACGCTACCAGGGACTGCAAAGTGGTTTTCAAGCTATCCCGCCGGACAGCGCAAAGGCGCTACCAACATATCGTCTCCGCAAAGCGCTCCGCAACTCTGGAGTGGCAGTGGCCTCTTGAAATAGGACCACACCTCTGCGCCACAAAGGTGCTGCATCCTGAATGACACTCCTGAACCGCCAGTGTCGCAGTAAGATCGCGGTAGTCTGAAACGTACTGCGTGTGAGCAGGGAGAGGCAGGACCTCGCAGTGGGTGACCGCCAGGGGGAAGCTCGCGGGAATGTACACTCGGTCCAAGCGGCTATATGAGCCTCGCACGGACCACGTATGCTTGATGACGTCAAAGTGTCTGAACCGGCTGGAGCCCTTCAGCTGACAATTATGTATAATACGCACAAGCTCGCATTGCATTCCTCGTAGATGCTTCGGATGTATAGGATTTGGGGTGCGTTTGGGGGGTTGAGATGGTTCAAAATTCTCCTGTACATATAGGGTCGTCTGGGTATTGGGAAAAGGGCGGGTGGAAGCCACGTAAGGTCAGAACATATATAAACACAAAGCACATATGTAAAGCGCCAAGCCATTGTTCCACAACTGCAGTTAATTTGTGCAGTCGATGGAAACACACTCACGAAACGGGTCGATAACGTCGCAAGGCTTTGCATCGGAAACTGGTTGGCGCAGCTTGATTTGCCAATCTGCTCGTGTACTGCCTGTACTCTAGCGTTAGATGAAACAAAGCATTTTATATATCATTCATCTTAAGTCAAGACGTAGCCGGTGCTACGAGCTGATTGAATCAAGCAGACAGCGTCAAAAGGCACCATCATGGTGATCGTCACGTTTCTGTACGTGTTCTGTCATCCGTGAACCAATCATAGACAGAAAAGGCCTAGTGACACGCTTTTGATGCTTGTTGATTGGTGCCATTACCTCCTAGCGTCGGCTGTATCTAGACTTAAGCTGGAGCGTAGTATAGAAAGTGAACGGTTCCTGCACTTTCTGAGATTCAATAAAAGGAGTGATAACCAAACTTGAGTGTCATTGTGTCTGTGCTGTAGTGCCATTTATAACAGAAACTGGACGCCACTCCTTACTGTGGTCGCGTGTCAGCCATCGTTATAAGCAGGAGTCATGCATTGATTTCTCGTTCCTATAATCATGTATGACACTGCACAGATCCACACAAGCACGCGAAGTATACAGAAGCCTAGGTCACAGCCACGCCTACTGCAATGCCAGCAACGTGATAGGCCAGAACACACAAACAAAACAAGCAAAAAAACAAACAATTCTTGTTCTTTTTCTATTGTGGGTAGTAAGATGAACATGCAGGCAGCGTAAGCTTACGCTGCCTGCATACAGACACAAACACATAAATACGGTGTTGCGCGGCCTGTCGCTAGACGGAAGCATAACCTATGTGCCGGCAGGAGCTTACATTTAAACTGCCCTGAAGAAGACAATGTGCGCGTGCGTCGATTTTCCTCAGGGTATCTGTATATCGTGCTTCGGGACGCGGATGGTCTTTAATGCAGTGCATGCTTTGGACTGCGTGACGCATGGCTTTCATACCTCACGTCTTTCTCGCAGCCTGAAACTTCACGAGGATTGGGCATCTACTCCAGCAGCCATCGACGCCTGTCTCCAAGTCGCCGACCACTACGACATCCAGGTATGTGGGCACAGTTGGAGTAAAAGTGGCACGAACAAAAATAGAAGATTAATTCAGAGCTGTAACTAAACGTTCAGTGAGGTAAACTTGTGGTTACAAACTGAGAAGATAACCTCGCATCTTGCATCAGCGACGGAAGGGAACCGTCTCGAAACAGCGCGTTACCACTGCATTTATACGCGTGGTACGTTCAGGAATGTTCCGAACCGCAACACTTTATGACAGCCATGCATGGGCTAGACATTTCGAAAACAGCTCATATTAATATAATTAAGATACGAGCCCAGCTCGTTTATATCCCCGTTCATCAGCGTGGCAGCCGCGTATGAATTCCTCCACGCAAGTGGCATTACACACCACTTCTGAGTAGCAGTGGCCCGCTACTTATCGAACACAGTCGAAATAAAAATATACAGGGTGTTCATTTTTAATTCGAACAGATTTATTTTAAAGAATCCGTAAAAGATGCACGGATACGGTTTGTGTAGGTGAGTTATACGGCCAGGGGGACATATTATAGGGGGCTAATCGTAACGATCAGTTGGTTAATTAATTCAAATTCGTTAATTAACTTCTTAATTAGTAAAAATAGACATATGATTCCAATTAGAAACTTGCGCAGCGTCACCGAAAACCACTAGATCAGTCATTTTCAGAAGGAAGTTGAGCGCGTGACAAGCGTAGTATTGCACTAAAGTTACGACTCGTGGAGCAGGTACAAGGCTGGGGCTAGATAAGAGACGGAAAAATCGCGCGGGCGCCTTACCGCAACCGCTAGCTTTGTACCTGCTCCACGAGTGGTAACTTTAGTGCACTACTACGCTGCTCACGTGCTCAAAGTCTTTCTGAAAATGACTAATTTAGTACTTTTCGATGACGCTGAGCCAATTTCTAATTGGAACCATATGCCTACTTTCATTATTTAAAAAGTTGCTTATCGAATTTTAGTTAATTAGCCAACTGATCGTTACGATTAGCCCTCTATAATATGTCCCCCTGGCCGTATAACTCACCTCCGCAAGCAGCATAAGTGTAACTTTCACGGCTTTTTTTTAAAATCTGTTCGAATTAAAAATGAACACCCGGTATATTTAAACCCCGCAACAGAGTGTCTTGATATTCTCACAGTTCATCATGGTCACAGTCAGTCGGGTACTTGCCTTGACAAGTTCTTCTAGTTTTCGCCTTCAGTATTGTTTTTCGTCGTTGGCCCTTATTGTCGCCTTCGTTGTCGTCGTCGTTCACCGTCGTAGGCTGCTGTTGTACGCTATCGTCATAGGCTGTCGCCGTAGATCGTTGTCGAAGGCCGTCGTCGAAGGCCGTCGTCGAAGGTCGTCGTCGTAGGACGGTGTTGTAGGCCGGCGTCGCAGATCATCGTCGTATATCGTCGTCGTAGATCGTCACCGTAAGTCGTCGTCGTGGTTCACCTTTATTCGTCACAGCTCGCTGACGCCTGACGTGGCTTTTGGTAGTTGCTGGTTATCGTCCGTCATTCCTCCCGTCTTTGTTCACTTGTATTTCTAGTCCTCACCGAGGGTTTTCGTCGTCGTCTTCGTCGGTACATTGCGTGGGGACAAACGTTACTCCGCACCTCCACTTGAATGTCACTGATAAGAAAGAAAATGAATATAGAGCTGAAACTAAACGTTTAATGAGTGAAATGTGTGCCCACAAACTAATGAGAAGAGTACTACGCATCTTGCGTCAGCAACGGAAGTGCGATTGTCTCGAAGCAGCGCGTTACAACCGCTTTCATACACGGGGTACGCTCAGAAATGTTTGGAACCAGAACACCCGATGACTGCAGAGAACGTGTTGGAACCTTCCAGGAGAGTACAGATTACTAAAATCAATATCCGAACCCAGCCGGTGATCGATCCCCGTTCCTCCGCGTGGCAGCCGCGTGCGCTGCCAACTCCTTCACGCAACCTTTTTTCCTTCTTTTTCACAGTGACAAGCAGTTTTGGAACACGCTCAAGGTGAAAGTCTAAAACGCTTTAACAACGCGGGGGGCCATCTCGCTGACCATTGTAGGCGATGTGGATGTAAACCTGACCTGACTGGCACAAATTTTTTAAGAAAGGCAAAGGAAAAAACGGAAAGAGAGATTATAGAGGCATTCTACATAAAAAAGAAAGAAAACAATTGCGTCAGCGCTCCGTCTTTGTATTTGCTCCAGAGTGAGATGGTGTTTCTGGAAGGTTGGCTCTGATTGTCGCGATTGAATTCGATGTGGTTTGGGCAGTGTGTATATATAGGCGACAATGGTGTTAATAAAAACCAGTTGAGAGTGAAGCGCCTGTCCTGTCGTCCGTGTTTCTTTATTGTCCTCGTTTGTTCGCGCTTTTTTAACCTTTTATTCAGCTTTACTTTATATGGCTGGCGGTAAAAATGTTAAAACTCGTATACTGTGAGCAGCTCTTCGAGGAATGGCAACCACACACGACAAGGTTGCTGGGCCTCACACACTTGTTCGAATTATTTGAGACAACAAATATGCTACAGATACTACTGGTACGCTGGACGTACATCAACATCAGCGTGACACACGGCCACGCGGCACCGCCATAAGCTGTGTAGGCCCAACTGAATGATTGTATCGTAGGCTACAGTGTCCTGCCCTTCAACCGGTAAAAGCGAATGCCATAGGGAAATAGAAGAAGGTACTTTTTAAAGGCTCTTCGGAGGAGTTCCTAAAAGAAGCCTGCTTCCCAAGAGTGTAGGGACACATGTTCAATTGTCTCCTGCTTTTTGCACAGTAAGCAGTTGTCAGACCACATAATGGGCAATCCATTTTCAGCTAGCCAAGCTTAAACCGGCAATGTGTGACTGTAAAACTTAAAGAAACCTGTTGAGTGCAGGACGGGACCACCATTTTTTATACGTCTTAAGATATCCTGCCCTTGTCCTTCACTGTACAGAGTTCGGTACGAAGGGGTGAGGAAAAAAAAATAATAAGGTAATTTGTCAATCGTTTACGGGAATCACCTGAAAGGTATTCGAGCGAGAACCGTGCTGCTAAAACATATCAGCACATACAACTTTCTTCAAATATATACGTGAACGTAAACACTGACGTGTTCGGTCGTCAACACAATGAACAAGGGCGACGTACTTCGCAGCCTCTTTTGAACAACAGTAGGTAGTGTCTGTTTGGAGCAGATCAGAAACGCGTGTCCGGTCGATATTTTTTTTATTTTATTTTGTTTATATGTCTATACGGTATTCCGCATTGTCTTTAGGGAACGGAATAACAGTTCAGCGAAATATTGTATTTCTCAAGAAAAAACAAAAACAAAAAACAACAAGAAAACTGCATCGGAGCGTTAGCCCTATTTTGGCGTTTTGTTTGTTTTGGTAAGTTTCATGGCCTGTAATAGACAAAGTACAAATGGTAGAAAACTGATATATTTTAAAGAGAGTGTAGTTTGTAGTGCTAATATCCACAAGTTTTGCAAATCTGGAAACTATGAATCTCCCGTAAAAATCGTACACACCTGGCTGCTTTGACATTTTTATTTTATATTTATGATTTATTATCGCAGTGTTTTTAAAATATAGTATGGACATTTCTTTTAATATATTATCTACATAAGTGCCCATTGTCTGCATATTTTGTTTTTAAATAAACCTATTAACAGCGCTTCAAACATGTTCCAAGGTGAAACGTTCCGCAACTTCCTGTGCAAACAAAAAACAATCCCTTTTTATTAAATATACACTAATGGTTTTCTTCCCGTTAAATAATGTTTTATTAAACTGTCTTCGTCAAACAAATAGCGCTTCTAAACGCGCACATTTCACTCCTCTGACATTTCTACTTTATATTTGTTATTTAATGTCTTGTAGGCTGTTTAAGGTATAGCATTGGACGATTTTTCCATATATCATTCACACGCGGTTTCATCGCCAGTATATAATTCGTTGATCTAGTTTATAAATGAAATTATTGACAGTGCCTCAAAGAAACTCAAGGAAAAAATACAACAAATTCAATGCGCAATTGGAAAAAGAGTAATATGTTTAAACATTTTGTTATGGTAATCTACACCACATCCCCGTGTTTTCCCATTAAAACATGTTGGAGTATCTTGTCTCCGTAAAAAATACTGCGGCTAAAAATGTACCTTCCAGATCAACATTTTTGTCGCAGTCCATGGCCTCAGTAGGCCTTTTCAAAAGTCCGCACCATCACCTGTACGTCATTGCTTGATTGCGCACTCTGAGCAGGTATTGAACTCGATGACTGTGTCAGCTTTCGGCGACGACTCGGATTACATCACGCGCTTCGTGTCGAATCAATGACGACCACCACAGTTGCTTGATTTGCTTAAGAAAAGGGTATATTTCTCCCACGTTTTATATAAAAAAAAGTTATCCTAACTTTTTTTTTTTTGCGCCCGAATGTTAATTAAAAAAAAAAATTCGGCACTTTAATCAAGTTCATTAAGTGCACTCTAAGACTCCCGGCACAATAGTTGGAAGCATCAATATGCATCCGTCTTTTGACGAGCTCGGCTTTGTGCTTGTTCAATAGGTCGCTGCTTCGTTCACGCATATACTCCAAACACTAGTCCCTAAGAAGAAACAAACACATCTCCGTTTGCGCTCTCGAGGAAGGAACGGAAGATATCTTAATGAAACCTAGAATTTACAGTTTACTCTTTCTGAGAAATATACGTCCTTGAAAATTAGAGTTTACTATCATTTGTACTCTGCCTAGTGCATGCCGTCCAGCTTGTCAAAAATCGAAAAACGCCAAAAGGGGTTGTAGCTCCGATGCAGTCCTTGAGTGTTTGTCTCAAAAAATAAATGTTGTCTCAAATCTTTTTTGTGCGATTTTTTTTTCTTGAACACACTTGGCAGTTACATAGAAATCAAGCAAGGAAAAATGTGGACCGAACACGCATTCATGATATTATCTAAACGGACCTCGTAGGAACATGTCTGTTTGGTATCTTAGGAAAAAGAAATCTGTTGTCAAGCTCTCTCACAAACAAATAAGAAGACCTAGCCCGCCGACTCTGCAAGTCGGCGTGTCCAATAGAGGTGCATTTGCTATCTCAAATGTTGCAACACCTGCAGTTTATAGTCATACCCATCTCCAGGGCTGCCTGAAAGATGGCGCCAGTGTACTAATTTGTTATTTGTGTTCTGCCGCCGTAAGCTTTTGCAAACGAGCACAGTGCACTCGATACCTTGTGTATGCATTTGTGCGGGTCAGCCTTAACTCTGCAATAAAGCGAAAGCAAAAGTGAGTGGCATTCACTAGCTGTGGATAGCTCCGGTCCACTGCGAGTGTATTTGTATCGCGCCCCTATCGCTCATTCTTGCGCAGGCGCTGATCCACACGGACACGCTGAACGAGTCCGGTTGCCTGGAGCAGACGCTGGAGGCTTTCGCCGGCCGCTGCATTCACGCGTACCACGCCGAGGGCGCCGGCGGGGGTCATGCGCCCGACATCATCGCCGTCTGCGGAGAGCCCAACGTCATTCCCTCGTCCACCAACCCCACTCGGCCCTACACAAAGAACACAGTGGACGAGGCCTTGGACATGCTTATCATCTGTCATCATCTGGACAGGTATGTCTGACCGCCTACTTGGGTATGGCGTGCCCACAGAATCCTGCTTTTTTTGCGCTCTACGTTAGATAATATTGTATTATTTCTGGTTAATTACATGTTACCAGTATTAATTAGTGATATCAACTGAAATAGGAATCGTCGGTAGCTCATCTAACGGTGTTAATGAATAAAAAAATCAATATCAACAAGCATTTTTTTAGAAGCAGTCCTCCATTACATTTTTGATATACTGATCAAAATATATCCTCTCATATATTTATTTGGTCTAGTACTGAATTTCTATGCTTACAGTGTTTCGATTACCCCAGGCGCTCTCCAAAAATAAACCATAATTATAAAAAAATAGGGTGCTAACTCGCTTTCGGCCTTATTGTGAGCACTGCAAAGGGTTCGTCAATTTATTCGAAGGCAAATATATGAGCTTCATGGAAATCATAATTTGAACCTCCAAATGTCTACATTGTAAAATCAGTTTGTGCCAACTACAAATGAGCAGACCTAATAAACCAACATTTTTTTGCCATTTCCCATTGTAGGACTAAGTGCATGATTATTATATGCAAAACGTTCCCTCTGTTTTCCACAGGATACGCTCAGAGGTAACTGAATCTACCATAGTTCCTTTTTAGGATATAGAGAACGTAAAGAATAGAGAAACATTAATCGCTTTTATCTACTGGAGCGTAACTTTTAAATGCCATTTCTTGTTCTCGAGTGACGTCTGTAGGCACACTTGTTTTTGACAAGCTTAAAATATCTTTTTTTTAATTGATCATATTTTTTGTTAATTTTGCTCACCTTTTGAACGGAGTAAAGGTCAGAGTCGTGTTGAACAGCCGTTTATTTCAGAACCACCAATGGCGGCTTCTGTCACATCAATCCCAGTTGTTCCAGTTTATCAGGATTTTGTACCCCCGCCTCATTCCTGATGATTGTCCTTTTATCCTTTAAAAGCTTTTTAACTTTTACATATTTGAAGTGGTGCACGAACCGTCAACCTCGTATTTATAGATACCTCAAGTTCTGTTGGGCTCTGCTTGACATATCATGCACCCATCTTGCTATGTTGAGCTTCAGTTTCTACTAAGCAACTGGGATTTAGCTTGCTTTCTCTTGTTAGATTCAAATTGCACTGTCTGTTGCGGCGAATTTACTTCCTCTCAATCTGTCTGCAACGATATGGGCTGTCTACACTATCGCAGTTCTACTAGGGCGTGGGTTGTATTACCTGTGTGGATTCATCTGAAAAAAAAAAGAAGCACAATCCCTGGGGTAACTTTGCTTGCTGAGGCGTTTGGTGTCTTATAAGAAAAAGGTCACCCAAAACCCCAGCCTCGTTGGCCATTTTCTTTGCAAGCTGTTCAACTCTGAGCAGTCTTTCTCCAGACAGTTAGAGGTAACACCTGGTTCATTCCATGTCAAACGTCCCAGACGTAGCGCTCCACTACTTTTAATTTCTAAAAAAAATCATTGCCTTTTGCCGCATTGTCCGTAACCATGCCCTAAATATATTTGACGAAAAAATTGTTTTGATGGCGTGAGCGCAGTTTTAAGTTTTAAAAATTGCGTGAATCTAGGTATAACTCGATAATTTATGAAAAATCAGTTTTATAAAACACCCAACAATATTTGTTTTCTTAAATCTGCATGGCTTTCGACTTGCGATGTGTTTGGGCTTTTGCAGTTTTGTTCAATTTAAATATTTTTTTTAAATACATTTTTTTCAGAAGTTTAGCATTTTTGGTAGTTTATTAAACATATCCGATTGCTCCTGGGATTTAATAGAATATTTTACTGGCTGCGCAGCAGGTGTATAATATATAAAAAATGTTTAAACCAATCACTTAAATATCTCTCAGTAAAAAAAATCGTGAAGTTACCAAAAAGTGCGTTTTGACAGATAAACAGCCCTTTATTTCACCCTGAGGGGGTACAAGTAAAAATACAAAATATGGTGGGTTTAGAAGAACAATCGATTGTCTTTTGATTCTAAAAGTTTGATCAATGCAATTTTTGTTTAAAGCGAGAAAACAATTTTTTAAGTTGAACTCTCGCACCACAACCCGGCGTCGCTTCTTAAAGGGGTACTCCACTGGTTTTTTCATTGTCTCCGATTTGCTTGAAATTTTGCTAAACTAACCAAAAAACATCGTGAAAATAGTATCCCAAATATTAGGTCAAAATATTGTTTTTTTGCGAAGTTATTGAATTTACAGTTTTGGTCCTCACCGTATTCTTCAAGCTCGAAGTCTCTACTGGCAACAATGAGAAAGTGACGTCAGTGGAAGGCAGGGGTTCACTCTTTGGGCTGTAGATTTAGTTTTAAACTGATTCGAAGCAGTTTCATGGTGTCAAATGAATGCTTGGGAAGCTCGCTGCAGTACCCGAGCTCTAGCACGGAACAAATGATTGGCATATTCTATTTTTTGGCTGCTTGCTCGACTGGCAAGCCTGCCTGCCACTGACGTCACGGCACTGAAAAGTGCGCGTATATTTGAATGTTGGTTTTTGCGTCATTTTCATTTGCCGATTTCACAATACCTATTATGAATTTCGCGATTCTAAATAGCATACCGGAGAGAGTAAAGGCCGGGAAGTCAGAAAATATAGTTAGTTGAGGTAGCTCAAAAAATCGGTAAAGTACCCCTTTAACGCCTCTTCGCCGCACAGCGCGCCACCGGCGACGATTGCGGACACGATTAGGTCCAAAGAAAGAACGGCGTTTACTGCCCGCTTCCCCTTGTTCGTTTTTTCAGCTACAAGGGAAGAAACGGCGGGCATCGTGTTGATAATTGGAGGTGCCGCCAGTACGTAGCCGTAGCAGGCCCGTTGTGCCCTTTGTATCCGAGGGCGGCTCCTCACACTCCGAAACGCGATGCCTAATCGACGGGCGGCAGCAGCTGACGTGGACTTCTCAATGTGTCAGGCGACGTGGACTTCTCCATAAATATATTTTACGTCTCCATGAGAAGTAAGATATATTTATGGAAGGGTGAAATATGTTTGCCTATAAACCACGTGGTATTTGGATTGCTAAGTAATAAGCACCATGAATATTGGTTTGGAGCAATTAAAATATAAGGAATATGTAATATTTTAATATTTTTGATAGTTTTCTTACAAACTATCTCGCTGCTGCAGGTGACTGTAAAATTCTTATTGACAGCCCTGTAGGTATACTGCACGAAAGAAAAAAAAAAGGGTTTCAGGCTGTACAACTAATTATCATGCAGAAAAACAACTAAATTTGTGCAAGATTGCGTTTTGCCTTTGCAAGAGCCGTCAATTCTGCCTTGAGGTGGCCCAAAGAAAATACGAAACGTGGTGATTTTTACGGAAGAGTTTATTGCCTTTTGTTCTTGAAAGTTTAAATAAAATAAGTTTGTTCTAAAGAGGAAAAAAAAAAACATCTTGAAGTTGAGCTCTCGCGCCGCAACCTGGCGTCGTTTCTTGCGCCTCTTCTCTGCACAGCACGCCACCGTCGAGCCTGGCAAAGCGCGCGACGGTGTCACGGTTTGCACACGCAGGTAGACAGCAGGACTTCGAGTTGTCGGGAATATCTTGGTGGGAAGAAGCTTTTTTCCACTCTTGTTGCTTTATGGATTTTCCTGTTTTGACTGTTTTGCGCGGCGGTGTCCTCCTGTAGTCTTCCAGTGTTTTTACATCAGCAGGTGCTCAGCGCTGCCGGGTCAGAGCATCCACCAGTAAGCTTGCTCTTTCTTACATAAAAATTGCAATCACTCTATTGTCAACGTCAGGACATTATTTAAAACAGCAACACAAAAGCTCCGTGAACGGGCAATCTCAAACGATGAGGCGATGTGGTGTTAACGAATGCACCGTTGGAGGCTCAGGCCTCGTTTGTGTTTAAATCGGCTTTGAAACGGCAAATTATTGCGTCGCTGAATAGTTCCGCTTTTAATCGCAGTGTGCATGACGGCTAGATTTCGCGGCGATATTGTCGCGTTTGCCTTTTAGGAGAAGTCCAGGGCAGCTGATGCCGCCCGTCGATTAGGCATCGCGTTTCGGAGTGTGAGGAGCCGCCCTCGGATACAAAGGGCACAACGGGCCTGCTACGGCTACGTACTGGCGGCACCTCCGATTATCAACACGATGCCCACCGTATCTTCCCTTGCATCTGAAAAGACGGACAAGGGGAAGCGGCACTAAACTCCACTCTTTCTTTGGACCTAATCGTGTCAGCTATCGTCGCCGGTGGCGTGCTGTGCGGCGAAGAGGCGTTAAGAACCGACGCCGAGTTGCGGTGCGAGAGTTGAACTTCAAAAATTGTTCTCTCGCTTTAAATAAAACTTTCAGAATCAAAAGACAATCGATTGTTCTTCTAAGCCCACCATATTTTGCATTTTTACTTGGATCACCTCAGGGTGAAATAAACGGCAGTTTATCCGTTAAAACACACTTTTTGGTAACTTCAGGATTTTTTACTGCGAGATATTTAATTGATTGCTTTAAACATTTTTTTATATATTATATACCTGCTGGGCAGCCAGTAGAAAGTTCGATCAAATCCCCGGAGCAATCGGATATTTTTAATAAACTACCAAAAATGCTAAACTTTAAAAAAAATTGTATTTTTAAGAATATTTAAATTGAACAAAACTGCAAAAGCCCAACCATACCGCAAGTCGAAAGCCATGCAGATTTAAGAAAATGATGTTGGGTGTTTCATAAAAAATCTAATTCTCAAAAATTATAGAGTGAACCTAGTTTCACGCTATTTTTAAAAATTAAAACTGCGCTCACACCATCAAATCTTTTTTTTCGTCAAAAATGTTTAGGGCATGGCTACGAAGAATGCGGCAAAAGGCCATGCATTTTTTTTATTAGGAATCTAGGGTGGTCGAGCGCATCGCCTAGAACGTTTGACATGGAATGACCCACCTGTGTCATTTTGACCTCTGCTCAGTTTTTTTAAGTGCATTTGTTATTATAAATTTTTAAAATAAAGAGGGAAATATTGCCAAGACCTTTACCCTGTTTTCTCACCTATTATACCTAAAACTAAAGTTTGAAGCGTCTTTTCTAAGTTATGTCTGGTGTCCCACAGCTAGGGCTCTCTGTCCTTGGCCCAGTCATCTTCCTTCCATTCACAAATAATATAACTAACAACATTCTTGCAAATATTTGTATATTCGCCGATGAATGTATAATATACCTGAAGATGAACTCATCTGATGATCATATAGTTCTGAATAACCCAGTTCAATTAATAAATGACTGGTTCTCTGAGTGTCAAATGAATCTGAACGTTAACATATCTTTATTCATTAAAAAAAAATTAACTTCCGGACGGCCTACCTTAACTAACATTTTTACAGGTTATGAGATTAAATATTCACCTCAGACGTACGTTGGAATTGTCATGTTGCCTATGTACGAAAACAATCCTTCAAAAGACTCCGGTACTTGAAAAGGTCACTGTTAGTGGCCACGACAGCAACAAATATTCTGGCTTAGCCTAGTTTGGCACATACTAGAACTCGCTAATATTGTTTGGTTCCCTCACACAAAAGCCAGCATATCTCAACTGGAAAAGATACAACGTCGGGCAATTCGATATATGTACAATAAATACAGCCGTGCGGACTCTCAAACCGAACTTCTTAAACAAAACGAAGGGTTTTAGCCTTCGCTAACAGAGCTCAACAGCTTAGGCTGAAATTCTTTTACTTTTTTTCTTCAAAATGCCTTTAAAATTAATAAATAGATGTATGACTAGTTTTTTTAATACTAGGGTAACACGGCATAAACGCAGCACAGCCTCGTCAGAATATTCCTTAAAGAATGACTGCTTTCGGTACTCTTTTTTTCTTAGCCAGCAGAAAATGGAACAAACTTGATCATTCCATCACTAACCGCGCAACAATAACCCAAATCCTAGCACATCTAAATGCTTTGTCACACAGGGATAAGTGATTAAAGGATACCTATATTTAACTTTTTTACTGTATAACCATGGACGGCCTGCAATGTTTCTTAATTGTATGCTTATGATAGATATGAATTCTGGTTTGTAATTTTAAGGCACTCTTCAATAGCATTCATGTGTACGTTGTGAACTTGAAATCCCAAAGATGATGCACGCATTCGTGCATTTTCTGTCATTTCCTGCTAAAGTCGCTCTTGGGACTGCCAGTATTTTCAAGTAAATAAATAAATACATGTCTGTGAAATGTCTTCAATAGCCAAACTGATATTGCAACATCTTTTCATCACTGTTTAATATTGGAAACATCATTAGAAGATGAATTATTATAAAGCGAATTATTACATTATAATTATTATATCGAACATTATATCGGCAGCGGTATTTTAGTAGGTGTATATAAATATTCACTAAATTCAGATCAATATGCCAAGATAGTTTTTTTTTAAATTAAAATATGTTTTTTTTTGTTTAAGTGCTGCGTAATTATATCTAAGATACTTTTAGAACATATTCGCATTTTGTTCATTACAGCTTGAATCTTGTCAGATCTGCATTTGGCTGATTGATTGAGGGCTTTCGATACCTGTTAAGACAATTGGCAATAAGTATTAGTCAACAAAGCTGTAAAATAAATGATCTGTTTCTTCTTTTACTAGGAATATCAAGGAGGATCTATCTTTCGCGGAGTCGCGAATTCGAGCCGAGACTATCGCTGCCGAGGACGTTCTTCATGATATTGGCGCCATCAGCATCTACTCATCCGATGCCCTGGTTAGCGCTTTTTTTCTGCTTAGATTTTTTTTATTTTAACGCTGACATGCAGTTTATGAAATGGGGAAACATTTCTGACTAAGGCCAGAGCGGTTGATTAGACATTGAATTGCTTATACGTCTACATTTCCTTGGATATAATTCGATATGCGTTTCAGGCGCCTTATCGGGTGAACACATATGCAATGGATCAAAACTCTCCGCATTCGACCTTTGGTAGATCACACGGGAACATTGATTGCGCTATATTAAGGTGCTTAACACACAAACGCATCCTTTGCAAGATGCCATTCTCCAAATGCCTAATCTTTTGATGTGGCCACCCGATTGATGGCTGCCTATCAGCGTACGGCGGTCGAGATCAACTGCATGGAGCGCGAAACGTTCTATATCGAAGTTGTATATGACTCGTTGGTCGGGTTTTTTTGTGTCCGTCGAGAGAACAGTAGTCAACATAAAACCCGCGCTCGAGCCTTACCACCGATCGTGCGCGCCTTGTCTTATCTTATCGTTTTGACACTTGTTCCAATGAGAAAACCACAAAACAAGTGTCAAAACCACGGGATAGATGATAAGTACGTAGCGCTCTCTGCATGCGTTTCTCGGTAAAAAGTGCGGTCGCATAAGCTGCCGCCTCAAGTGCGGAGTACAAAGTGGGGAGTGACATCACTAACTCCGCTAACATTGCGAAGCACGCAGCGCCCCTGCATGTGTTTCTCGGTAAATATTGCGGTTGCGTAAGCTGCCATGGCCACGGCAGCATACGAGGTCCGTCATATATAAAGAAAAAGTTTTGGTACAGTGTATGTACTTTTCTTTCGCCAGTCGTTTGGGATAGACCCTTTTGCTGTTTACAAATATGAACTGCCGCTTGCGCCGTACGCGACTTGCCGTCACAGCGTATTTGCAAGCCTGTCGAGCTTGCTTATAATACCAGTGCTAGAAAGCATAAATGCTACACGGACAACGCAATTGGAGATTTAATGAGGGCCTTCGGCTGTACAGTATTACATCTTGGAGGAAGCAAGTTGGTTTACAAGTATACTCGGAAAGGTTTAGCAGATCTTGCAGTCCGTTGTTCTTTTGGCGTTCACCTGGAGAATTGGTGATTGAACGTTCAAGCACCGGTGTTAAGGTAGCGTCGTTGCAATGTCAACTCGTCGTTCATTTTTTTTATAAACCGGAAGTCCTTAAGGACTTCAAAGACTGGAGCACCGCCTGGTGGCGTTTGCCATGTAAGGGTCTATGATCTATAGGAAATCGTTGCAGGTGATGTCACTGCTTCGCTGTTCAACCACCTTCTCCGCGTAAACGGGAACCTTGATTTTATTTTTTTCGAGTTGGTGATGGACGTGGGCCGAGCGACGTTCGGGACTCAATTCGCCGCCCAACCATCCGGCGGTGTTGCAAGATGGTCCTACCCAAAAACCGCCAAACGGCTGGGAGTTATAGTCCAAATATAGCCAAAACTGAGAAAAAACATAGCCAAAATGGCCAAGATTAAAAACAATTATTTTTACGCCCTTTATTGACAATTTTTCACACAAAACACGTTACATGATCTTATTAGACCTCAGATGCACCATATTTTGTGTACATTATGTCACTTGTGAATATTTGAAAAAACGCTTCGGAGGGATGAATATTTATTTTAGATTATATACGTTCAAGCCTAAAAATGGTATTCCTTGAAAGTCATAGTAACCGGACAAGTTTCTCAAGCAAATCTTTTTGTTAGACAAATATACATAGCTGTTCCTCATTTGTTTCCTCGAACTCTTCTACCCCGTATTCGTTTTAAGGGAAGACGGCTAACTACGACGAATGACGTTTCTTAATACAAAAGCAAATATGTCAGTATATCATTTCTTATTTATAATGTACTAATTAGGACAATCTTGAATATAAAATAAAGCTTCAGAAATTGAATATTTAAAACTCAGTATTTTGTGATAAAAATAATAGGATTAAGGAATCACCAGCCGGTAGTGGTTTTTGCGAATTCGATTTTATCTTTACATCTCTGATACTCAAGTTTGCTACGATGAAATAAAAAAAAATATCTACGCCGTGAGGCATTGTAGGACATGGGGTCCTGTTAACATCGGGTGCAGCGAGAATCGTGCTATTTGAATGCCGTTTGGCGCGCTAGTATATTTACTATTACATAAGTAATTGTTGGCCTCTCTTTATCGAATCACAGTTCTTTTAGCTTTGAAATGTTTCGTTAGAAGTAGGTAACTACAAGTGCCTAGTTTTTTTTCTGTTTTTCTTTTAAGCAGGAAGTCGAAATTTCTTTCCCTGTAATCCAGTACACCAGTAAGAGTAAAACATGAGGCCCTACAGAACGGCGAATTTTTATGCCTTAATCATATTATGCAATATATTTTAGAAGAGGAGAAACGCCCATATACGCCTAAATGCTGATACACATTTAACGAATTAAAAATATATATTTTAGTCTGCGTCAGAAACATCTAGTACGTGGTGTCACTTATGTGTTTCCTTTCTAATATCTCGGCCGCTGTTCAACACCAACATATTTGCATAGTTTTATAGCGGTGTGTGAGCAGCACGTTTTGTGAAAATATCTCGTATGCGGTTTAATGTACCATAAGATACATTCTTAGAAATTTCGCATACAATGGCTTCAGATGCTACATCGGGAACAGTTTAGAAGTACAAATAGGAATTAGTTTTATTTCTAACATATAATGTGCGCATTTTTTCAAGAAAATTTTACACTTGCCATTATGGGATCGCTTATGGTATATTCCACCAAATAAGACCATACCGCCGTTGTATTTCAGTTAGAGTACCCGACTCTTCATAATCATAATCAGCAACATTTTGCGCTCTAATATAGTTTTTTTGTGCGCGAAGCCATTTAACAATTTCGATACCATAAAAATGTATTTTACATATTATATCGTGCAAATTAAACGCGTTCACTTGTCAGCATATGTTTGACCTCATCTTAAATGACCCACTTTCCCAGGCCATGGGCAGGATCGGCGAAGTGGTGAGCAGGACGTGGCAGACGGCGGACAAGATGCGACTCTTCAGGGGAAAGCTCGATGAGGACTCTCCCAAAAATGACAACTTCCGGGTGAAGCGGTACATCGCGAAGTACACCATCAACCCTGCCCTGGCCCATGGCATCGCCTCTTACGTCGGTTCTGTAGAGGTACTAATCAAATTGTTAATAATTCATATTTCAATAGATTTGGAAAAATGTGAGACAGTACTTCAGAAAAACGGTGCACTTGATACGTAAGGCTGGTACTAGACTTGTGTTTGTTAATTGAAAATGTAATGGACTACAATTATAGATTACCGAGTCTCAAACGTACTGGATTCCCGTTACAAATTACTTTCGCTGCTGAGTAACTGATTACTTTACTCGTTACGTTACAAATTACCTTGGTGTTAGTTTTTCCGTACGCTTTTCCAGAAAGCAATAGAAACAATTTTGATATTTTTAAAGAATGCTTCGTAACACTACTCCTCATTTCTCATACGCCCGTATTATGGTAGTAGTTGTAAAAATACAATATTGTATTTAAGAGAAAGAGTGCAGGTGCACTCCGTTCACCTGTAAGCTGACAAGGCACCGAAAGCTGCTACCACACCTGCCATCCCGCTAGCTTGCTGCTTTGGTAAATGATCCCTGGAATTGAGCAGACAAAGCTAGCGTTGCGCATGCTCAGTAGCAGCGTCTACGAGCTCCGCTACATGATTCGGAGCAAAAGAAGCGATCTACGAAAGCTCCCTTTTGACTCGGGTGCTTCGCCTCGTATTCGCAAGAAAAGAAACACTTGGTGCTAACATTACAGTGCATAGCCAATGCAGAATGTAGGTGTCCCAGCTTACCTCGATGTGTTTCCGTAGATTGGAGTTTGTTGTTCTTGCTGATGATAATGTGTTTTCGGCAGCCAAAGTATGGACTTAAAGTCTAGGTTTCCGTTCTCCTTAATGCCATGAATTTTGATAATAGAATTAGGAGATTGCCATAGAGACGACATATACTCCATGACCGAAAACGCGACCAGTCAGAGAAAAAGTGGCGGTCACGGGTTATCGATCGTTTATCAATTCTCACTTTCATAGCAATAGTTGTGGAGTCGAGGGGACGGGAGGGCATAGAGAGCGGAAGACGCTGTGGCCATCGGTCTCAAAACAATAGAGGATCACGGCTTTTTTACGCGTCCTCTCTCTCTGTCAGCACTCCTTAAATGGCCTAACCCTCCCTCCCCCCCCCCTCCGCTTTATGTTGACTGCTACTAAAGTAAGGAGTGGACTCGACCACCATGCCGAGACAAGTAAACGAAAATAAGTATCGTCCGTACCCTCGAAGACGATGCTCTTAGCCTCGCGCCGGGCGCTTTTCAGCCGTGTCTCAAGAGCGAGCTATAATAAAGTAGCGAAAATCAAAAACAAAGGGAATTCGACCCCTTAGCGCGAGGCTACATTCGTCGCCTGTCCTTTTAATAGGGGCTACATCGCCCCTTGCGCGAGTCATGAACCCGCGAATCGAGGGGGTAGGACCCGCGCTTGGTGTCTATGAAGGTGGCGGGAGACGTTGAGCGAGTGCGAAAGGGTGAAACGGTTTCGAAGACAAAAAAATAAATAAACGCAGAGCTTTCTCCTGCCCGCGAGAAGAAGAAAAACACGATGGAAGGCGACGGAGAGTCTACTAGGCATTGTCGTACTTGATCTTTGTCTTTCGTATATTTGTACACCCCCCGGCGATTTGAAGGTGAACGCCGGACCGTCGACCGGTGCGTGCTATCAGCGCCATGACGCGGCTGCTTGGGTGACTTGCTTTATTATCGCGCGCTTCGCCGAGATTAAGCGCTTGGATCGAGCGCTGTTCTCAGCTCTGCTGCTACTCCCCGCAGAAAGCGCGAAGATTGGGGAGGTAGGTTTTCAGGCGCTATTGGTAGACAATGTGATTTAGTAGTTTTTTGTTGTGATATATGCTAAACCGGAAGGCTGCGGAACAAATAAAAAAGTAACTTATACTTTCCGCTTCTTAAAAATAACACAATATTATTTGATCTGTGGAATGTTTTATCAACCGCGTCGCGTTGCAACGATGTTATACCAGCCACGGCCACAAAAAGATATGCCGAAATCGAAACCCACTTCTACGCTTTCTGCAGGGAGTAGCAGCAGATATGAAAGCAGCACTCGGTTCAAAGACTTAATGTCGGCGAAGAGCGCGGTAAGAAATCGTCATGGCGCTGATAGCACGGACCAGTCGACGGTCCGCCGTTCACTTTCATATCGCCGGCGAGTGTACATGCCTTGCCCGTTTTTCTAGTGGTTCTAGTGATCGGTCATACAGAAAATTGTGTTTTCTTTTCGGCTATTCCCCTCTTCCTGATGTTTTCTATTTTGTTGAACTTGCACTCCTTATGCTCGTGAATGTTCTGCTCGAATTGCTCCAGTTACTGTATTATGCTCATATTTTTAAGAAGTAACGAGTAATAAAAGTAATCCGTTACCGTTATTTTATAACAAAATTACATTACAAATTACTTCCGAAAAAAAAGTAACGTGACAATTATAAAATTACTTTAAGAAGTAACAGGTTACAAGTAATCCGTTACTTGTAACAGACTATTTTTCAAGTACGGCTGCTACCTATTAACGTTATACACATTATCCTGTTTGAATGATAATATTATCTGTTTACAGCGAATTTATTGCTTTGATGAAGAATAGATTGCAGAACATAAATACCAAATCAGAAGTACTGGTGTCACCTTAGAAACGTGAGTAGGTTTGACTATACAAGGAGTGGTTACGATTAGTGGTTAGAGCAGTCCTCGTGAGCCGTGTTGCAAACAGAGTAAGTAGGAATTATCCCTGCCCCGTGTTAAGCCAAATACTCAACAAACTATCTAATATATAAGATGCTAAATACATTTTTAAAATAAAATTAGAGTAACGTTTAGGATACTTTTACAACGAACAATCTTAAGGAAAGCAGACATACTTTGAAAAAAAAATTGAATTACATTCGAAGATATATACTCGGCAAGAAGGTTGCAAGCTGGTCATATAAAAATAAAAAAGAAGTCAAAAGGGTGTGCTCTACCTGTGATTACTTCGCTCAAAATAATATTCTGCTTTTATCTTTATGGCTTTCAAGAAGCGACTTAGCTGCTGCAATCGGAGTTTACTTTGAAATAATTCGGGATATGCCGCATAATGGGTACCGAAAGACCTTAAGATCAAAGGGGACACAGGTATCGTGGAAATGGCAACTGGCGTGCTTTAGTTTGGTGGCAGGCTCGGCTGATGACGCGATCTGCAATAAGTTCGTAATATTCATCGACGCGATTTGGCGGACATGACACATAGTCCGGCATCGCATATCCCTAGCAGCCAGAATAGAAGTTGATGAGGCAGCCAGAATGGATGATGAGCACGCGAATGAATGACAAACGTGCACGCACAGGAGAAACATCACCCAGAGTACAGCAGCCCCTGTCGCTGTTCAGCAACCAAGAGCAAGGAGTTTGTTTTCCCAGTCAAGGGTGGGGCGGAGTTGCTGAGCCTTCAAACTGTCAAAAAATATTGGGAAGGTTAAGAAGAAAGCACAAGTAATACGAGAGTGTGTCCACGAAACCACTTTCCCTCCCTGGAAAACTTAGTAGAAAACTGGGTTGGAGGATTCCGAGAATGAAACAACGTGCACATTCGGAAGGAGGTAAAAGAGACGCTTTTGAACGAGCTTGGGAGCCGAAGGTATGCCACAAGTGGCACACAAGGGGCTTTGGCGAAGGCCAATCTAGGTCACTGCACGTGCCAAGTCAAACACATTCTTCCTCGCCTTTTTGGGAACGACCACTTTGAAACTTCTCGGAAAGCAACCATGTCACACTGAAAGTTCTGTGCCAAGTCTGCAGTACGGTGCAAATTGATGCCTTGTCAGTTTATGCTGTTCTCCACTTGAAATAGCTGTGAGCACTTAGGGCAAAAGAGGATCGTGTCGGGTCATTTCAGCGAGTTTAAGTGGCGACAGTTCGAAACTTGACGGTGACGCCAACCTGAGTACGTCCACTGGTGGACAGGGCTCGTTGACAAAACGCATTAGCGTTTTGATGGAGTTGTCCAGGTCTGTAGTCTAAATTGTAGTCGTATGTAACAAGTTTGAGGTGTCATGCTGGGTGACAGGATTTGGGGAACCTGCTTCATTTCTCCCAAGATGCCAAGCAGAAATTGGTGGTCTGTTAAAACTCTCATGTGTCTGCCTGCAATGTAGAGGTGAAAATGACTGACTCCCTAAATTACCGCCAAGCCCTCCTTGTCGATCTAGTAGTAATTTGTTTCCGCGGCTGCTTGTGTTCCCGATCCGAAAGGTATAGGGCCTCTCTGCCGAGTTCATCTTTTCGGGCAAGTACGGCACCAACACAGTATAGTGACACATCGACTGACCAGAGAAGAGGCTTAGTCTTATCCTAAGGGGCAAGTACAGTAGAGGAGCGAATCAAGCCCTTAGTTGCATTAAAATCAGTCTGGTGCTTCCTTTCTAACTTCCAGGGCATATTTTTCTTCAAGAGTTTGTACTGCTCGGCGGCGATGTAGCTCTGTTTTCCAAAAAGCGGTACGATATCTGCGTACGGCCAAGCCTGCTCACGTCACAGGCGGCTCGGGTCATCCAATCTCTGGTCCGATGCCTCGGCGGCGGGACGGCGGTATAGCGTTACCACCCAAGTGGCGCCGTAGGATTTCCACAAAGCGGCGGCAGGTTGCTCGTATTATACACAACAATCTTCATATACATTTCAAGTTCATACTGGCCATAAATAGCCTTTTTATCCAAACGAAAGAGATATTGGAAGCACACACGTGGTACAGCAGAATCGACAGCGAAAAATTGAAGCATACATTAATAATCAAAAGATGTTACGCATCAAGCACCTTCTTTGTCGCCGGAAGGGGGGGGGGGGGGGGGGCGGAGGGAGGGGGGGGAGGGGGGAAAAGGAGGAGTTTAGCTATTACGTTCATATTATTGATTTTTTGCAAGGGCCAACTGCAATTAGATCTACGACAACCAAGAAGGTGCTACATACGGTGTTTTCCTTCCAGTAGAAAGGAAAACATTACAAAAATTATATTGTGATGTGTTCTATCAAACCCTTGAAGTATATCGATACCAAATGTACGTTTTAC